ACAGGTGGCTCGTTCTGTTGGGTGTCATCCTCGCCCTCACTGGAATTATCATGGCTTTTGTGGAAAAGGGGCCGCAATCATTGCACTCCACGCACGGACGACTCGGATTGGTCGTCATGGTGCTCATCGTTGCGCAGCTAATCGTGGCTCAGGTCAAGCCGCTGCAGAAGCATCTCAGCCGTCGATCCTGGTTCGCCCTGGATTGGGTGGTTGGGATCGTCATGGTGGCCATCGCTTGGGCAGACACGTACCTAGGGTTCGATCTTGCTGCCTCCAAGTTTGGTTACATTCTCAATGTAAGCTTCCCAAGTTCCCAGACTTTGTGTGTGTGTGTGTGTGTGTGTGTGTGTATGTGTGTGTGTGTGTGTGTGTGTGTGCGCGCGCGCGCGCGCGTGTGTGTGTGTGTGTGGTAGTCAGGTTGCCGGCAGCTCATGCCTTCCCTCTCCCATGCCTTACTTCCCCTCGTCCCTCCTCATCAATGGTCCTACATTGTCTTCTCCGTTGTGGTTGGGCTGTTCTCTGTGGTGTGGTTTACATCTGTTTTCGTGTTGGACCAAGTCGGTTATTGCTGCCTGCATTTCAAGAATGACGAACCGCAGATTGCAACAAAAGCAGCTGAAGTTGTGTAGCTTTTGGGTGGGATTGTGTGCTGTATGATGTGAGGATGCGAGGATATGCATGAAGCGTAGGCTGACTCGGCCTTGTACAGCGATGCACGGTTTGGTGAAGATGGCGTACAGTGCAACAAACGCCGGCAACTGGCAATGGGTTGAGAACGGGTTGGTAATAAAGTGTTACAGTGTTCTACAGGGTTTTACGCATTGATTTACATTCATTTAATAAATGTGTGTTCGCAAACACTAGAGATCAGGTGCAGCGTAAGGAAATATTTAACCGTCTTTGCACGATTTCAAGAAGGTTCTTAGATTTAACCGTTTGAGTGCCCTAACATATATAGATAGGAGGGATTGCTGCTTGTGTAGGAACTTTCATGACTGTTGTCACTCGATTGAAGCACAGCTGCACTTTATTGCGTCAATGTCGAGGGTCCCACGCCCACTCCCTCCATGTCACCAATCCATCGCAACAGCAGGTGACCATCCATATGAAGTTGTTCCGGGCATGATGTGAGTGAGGGTGCTTTGTACGTATGGTCTTTGTAGACTCGATATTCCAGAAGCTGATCACGACTGTTCCCTACCAGCAAGGGGTGCGGATGTCCTGATTGTACCACCACCTTTTGAGCTGCGCGCGGTTTCTGTTTTCGGGCAGGAATAGCTGGTATGGCGTAGAAATAAGGGCGGATCATTTTCCTTGGCACAGCACCCATTGCAACCTGCAACCATTCAAACGTGAAGCATCTCGTTGAGCCGCATTCAAACGAACGAGATGACCCGCCCTTGTAAACAAAACGCCATGTTTCACTTGTGAAAACGGGATTGTCTAGTAACACTCAACCTCCGTCACAATGAAAAGCTTCCAGTTTCAGAAGAACTGTGTAGAAACAGGTGTGCTATGCATGCCATGATCCATCCCCCCATCCATTCCAACCATGCTTTTGCCATGCTGCGCAGTCCGCCGCACCCATCGGTTCCCCATGGTTGCCACTGTATGCTGCACGCCATCAACCTTCCGCCATGCACTCCCCCCATGTCAGCTGGGATAGGATGGATAGAAACAATTTTGCATCTCTTGCAAAAATGATAAGAAACTTTTTGTTTTTGTGCCCATCCATACCATGCATTCATGGCCCAACCATACTCCTGCTAATCAGCCATGCCATAGATACTCGATACCTAATCTGCCTGCTAACCCGTCCCAGCCCCATCTCGATCGACGATTAGTCTCTAAGCGTAGAGAGCAAATTCCGAGAATCTGAACCATGAATGGAAGGTTTATCGCTGGCTATTCCTCTGCTCCAGCGTCTCCCCAACTCGTCAGAAACACCCCATCTCCTTCAAGCAGTGATGGCGACCATCAGTAAGCAGCTGACTAGCGTGTTCGTTTCTTCGGGATCGTTTTTTTTGTTTTGTTTTTTTTTTTTTTTTTTTGTTTTATGGCAGTTATGAGCCTTCGATACCCTCTACTGCGGTATTGATCAAGTGCTGACTCTTGTTTGCGCTCGTTCAGATATCTCGCGGACTTGTTGGCTGAGCGGAAAAAGCTTCTTCCCTTCAGACAAGTTTTACCGCATTGCGGTCGGTTGCTTGACCAAGGTTAGGCATAATATTGCTATATCCTGCCGTTGTATAAGTTGTTAAGTTCACTGCTAACCTTAACCGTTGTCCTTGTTTCAGAAATTGCGCGTTTGTCGTCAATTGTGGGGTCTCCGACTTACATGGACCACGAACACGCCGAGACCTCATCGCCCATATCCCATCCCATATTCTCTCCTGGTCCTTCTCCGTTTGACGCACAGACATGGTCTCCGATGCCGAACGAAGTCGGGGTACGACTATGCCTTGGAACTTTTTTCTTCCTTTTGCGAATCATTGGTTCTTTGAATTCAGCTCAAGCGATACAATAATTCTCGCGATCCCTGTTGCTGCAGCCCTCGACGCTTTTCGCAACGCCAACAGCTCACCAGCCAACAACAACGACATTGGTAGGCTGGACCCCTCAACCCGGCGCTGCCCCAATTCTAAAAAAGGCTCGCAGGATTGACGTTCCAGTGGATCAGTATCCCACCTTCAATTTCGTTGGACGAATTCTTGGACCCCGAGGCAATTCGCTAAAGCGAGTTGAGGCTCAAACGGGTTGCCGCGTCCTTATCCGAGGCAGAGGTTCCATCAAAGACCCTACTAAGGTAGGTGATCAGTTCCCAGGTTCCTTGTTTTCAGCTTCCCCTATCCAGGCAAAGTCCTCACGTGGTATGCTCGGTCTTGCAGGAAGAAAAGATGCGTAACAAGCCAGGTTATGAGCACCTGAACGAGCCACTGCACGTCATTGTTGAGGCTGAGCTTCCAGCAAACATTGTAGATGCTCAGCTTTCACAAGCTTGTGAAATTCTTGAGGAGCTTCTGAAGCCAGTAGTGAGTGTTGTGACCACATTTCTGTCTGCAGGTGTTGCTTCGCAAACCTTTTCCGATACTAACGTCTTGTGGTGGTGGTACAGGATGAATCTTGTGACATTCTCAAACGGGCACAATTGAGGGAGTTGGCTATTATCAATGGTACTCTCCGAGAAGACACGGGATCACACAGTCTATTTGCAGGGTCCCCATCACCATTCAGTGACCCTGAATTCAGATCTGCTAAGACTCGACGCTGACGATCAAGTTAAGCCACAAAAGTTCAGCTCTAGCTGCACAGAGGGCAACAACCTTTCTTGTGCAGCTGCTGGAACTGACTCTGATCTTTGTTGTGAGGCTGGTCAAGCACCAGTTGTAGCTGTTAGGCACTAGGACACACTAGGATACACTAGGAGTAGACACTAGTCATGAGTTGTCCTGGTTTCTTAGAGGCTCAGAGTCTCTCTGGCCACTAGGGGTTATCTTGCAGACGCATCATAGTGTCTGCTTATTCTCTAGGCTGTCATGTAAAGTAATGTTCACTGCTGGTCTTTAGAATATACCATCCTATGATGGGCAGATGCGTATCACTTCAACAGCTTCACCAGGGTGGTGCTAAAGCTGATGGTAGTATAGGGTGTTACAACCATTAAGTGTCTGTGTACAGCAGGTTGGCACGTTATAACATCCCTGCTTCTTTGTGCATTCAGATGTCGCAGACGCTGCAAGAATGCTGAGTGCAACATTTGCAACAAATTCCTTGAAGGCCACACTGCAAGCACAGAAACCAGAGTGGAAGAATTAGTACAAATAGTCCTGGAAGTGCTAGCCTACAAGAGTGAGAGACAGTTGCACTTACATTGAGCCGGAATAGGTGGGCTCTGCAGAAGTACTCGGCACAAAAAGAGCATTGGACTAGGCAGTTTTCACAACCAATCTCCCCATCCCTGACGATGGCGTGCCCCAGAACGTCCGCAGGAGCTCCCTCACCATTGAGCATGGAGTACACACCACACATCATGACATGACCAGCCTTGGGACAATGAGGACATGGAGCAACATCCAGTGTCTCAGAGAGCCTGAACTTTTCCAGCAGACGAACATGGCGGCCTTCGACATTCGTCGAACCAGACAAACGCATGGACTTCAAAAGTGGCTCCGTTCCAGCTTCGTGACACGCTTTAGCCAAATGACCGACCAGTGACACCAAGGCTCCTCCTGACAGTTTTGGACACTCCAGAAGCCAAAGCTGCAATAGAGCGCAATTCAATCAGAACGATATCACAACCGAGACATTCAAAACAATAGGTGTATTTATGCTCACCTTTTCAAGTTTCTTGTTTTCCTTCATGCCGTCCGCAAGAAGAAAGGCTCCAGTCAAACGCTTTGATCCATGGACCTCGACAACTTCAAGGTCCTTTTGAGCTCTTTTTATCAATATCATGAGACGGGTGTCTGTCAGCTTTTCCGAAAGGGACCTTGGGATGGTAATCCTCTTCCACAAATGACGGTCATGAACGACAAAGTTGTTAAGATCCTTGCAGGTGCACTGGACAGACATCAGATCCATCAAAGACAGAACTCTACATATACGATGGAGCAATGCCTCATCGAGACAAAGGATATACGCGGTCCCCTCTTCATTGGACACATCTCCTGCCGCAGTCGACATGAGTGGGTTCGTGTTAACATTGGAAGAGACCAATGGCAATTCGAACGCCATTTCGATATTCACAAAACTATCAGAGCTGTCTTAATGCTTAAAGAGTGAAAACTAGACAAGGCCGACTCTGACAACCAAGCGCAGGCGAATATGCGTTTGATGTAGTACAGAATTTGTTCGAGTTGGGAAAGCGACACCTCGGGGGACCTCCGCTGCTCGAAAGAGAAATTCGCTCGAGTTGGGAAAGCGACAACTCGGGACAACTCAGCTGCTTGAAAGAGAAATGGGTGTGGCGAAAGCAGTAGTCCTCACGGACACAGGGTCCAATGGGTGTGGCGAGAACAATGGGTGAGGAGGTGAAGAGAAATGGGTGTGGCGAAGAACTATGGCTGAAGAACAACGGCTGAAGAACCAGAACACCGTTCTAGAGAATTCCTAGAAAATCCCGTAACCAGCAAAACAAGACCGGGCATCACGAATCCGCGCAAATGATGGAGCAAACACCAAGGCAAAATGATCGAGCAGTCAGCCGACAAGCCTCGAGAATACCTCCAAGCAAAAGTCGCAAAAGCATCAGCTGCGCCAATCAGTTGCCGAGGATGAGCTGGCTGACCTTGGCGACTTGTCGGTCAACAGCGTCGTTGGCCTGAGCGATGTGTTCGCGATGTCGGTGGAGGCATCTTGAAGGCGTATGTGCGACGACTCCTGAGCATTTCGATAATGAAAATCATTTCGATACGGAGATCTTACAAATTTGTTCATAGACAAAACTAATGCAGAACACTCGTAGCAAATCTCCTTTTATCGCAAATTCAACCTGGAGCACAATTACGGACAATACTACAAGCTGCAGCGAATTACTTCCACAAGTTTCAGCCTAAGATCCACCCTCGAGTCGGTTAGGACGAAGGATCTAGTTGTAAGGCTCACCGGGGATGATCGGCTTGCATTAACCATGGCGACCGCTGCAGAAAGGGAGAGGCAGCTGCAGCGCGCTCTTGGAGAGTGCGCTTTGAGTAGGTACTACTCGATACCTTTTTACGGCCAGACGTTTTCGCACCGCGATGACGTTTAGAGGCAGACGCTGTGTAGCACCCTCTTTCCCTTATTGACGGCTTCCCTTTTGAAGCGAAATAGCCTTAGCCGTCAGTAGCTTTTCCCTCACCCTCTCTCCATCGATCTCCCTACTTTCTTTCTATCCGTCGGGTGTAAAAACGTCTATCTTTTCATTATTTTTTTTTTCCCCCTCCCGTTCGCGTCTCTCCTTTCCCCAGATCCTGGATTTTCACCCTCGGAGGGTGTTTAATCTCCATCCCTATAGGTATCAAGCGCAAGTCCCTGGGTCCGCTGGTGTTCTACGGCACCACAGGCGCCATGGTGGACATCATTCAGGGAATCAGCCTCTGCGAGAAGGAGCTAGAAGAGCTCAAGGCGTTTATGGAGGAGAAGAAAGCGGGCAAACACGGAGGAGCGGATGGGTCTGGTAGCGTCAGTGGCTCAGAATCGAAGGAGAGAAGCGGTGTTCCACAAGATATCGCACAGACGTTAGGTGATGATGGTGGGTCGAGGTAGCTTTTCGGCGCAAGTCACTGGGTTCTTGACGTTGTTCGGCACAACGGCACCACAGGCGCCATGGTGGACATCATTCAGGGCATCGGCCTCTGCGAGAAGGAGCGAGAAGCTCTGAAGACATTCATGGAGGAGAAGAAAGCGGCGAAGGAAGGAGGAGCGGATAGGGCTGGTAGTGGTGTTAGAGATCCAGGGGTAGGGGAGAGAAGCGGAATTTCGCAAGATATTGCACAGACGTTACCTAGGTGACGATGGGACGTCAAGGTAGCTGTTTTGCGCAAGCCACTAACAAGGAGGCACGGATTGGAGCTGGTAGCGTCAGCGGGTCGGAATTAAAGGAGAGAAGCAGAGTCCTACAAGGTATTGCGCAAACATTAGGTGACGATAGGATCTCCAATTAGTTTCTCAAGGCGCCAGTTCCAGGGTCCGCTGGTGGTAGTATGTGAGGTTTCAAGGGAACGGGCTGGATTCGCAAATCAAGGATCGTACACTAGGTTACCATGCTAGGTATAGGTACCATGGGTAATACCATAGCACGACGAGCCCGTGGGTCCGCTGGCGTTGTGCAGTATGAGTACACAGGGGGGCCAGCAGGCGGCCCCACCAGGGGAACCAGGGGGTCATGGTGGACACAGGTTAGGAGATCAGTGCATTGAGAGGCAAGCAGAGGATGCTAGAGCGTTTGTGGAGCTGGAGAGAGTTGAGTGGAGAATGGGGTTTACAGTGAGAGGAGGAGAGGGAATGTTATTTTGGCCTAGAGGTATTAAGCGTGTGAAGCAGGAGATGGTTGATGTACAACCCTACCCATTGCTGTACCACACCACTGTCCATTTGCAATGCCTGCCTATTCTCAGCCAATTTTTTTTAGCCCCAAGCTCCTGACACCACAGCTCTCAGACTCACAAGTCAACTCCCCTGCATCACCGGTATGGCATTGATTGAATACCGCTCAGAAGAGCGTGCATTATGAGAGCAAAATGAGGAACAAAACAAAGCACCAACGCAAACAAAATCCGTAAGAGTTACCTAACAGGCTAATAGCATAAGCAGCAACCTGTATGTATCTGTATCTCGTAACTCGTTACAAGTCATTCCGTGTGGTTCCAAAATCCATGGGGTGAGTTCAGGTCCCCAAGGGCCTCCATACCAGGAAATCCAGGCTCGGCATCTCCCTGTTCTCCGAACCTAAGCAGCAGGTTTGGTGGCTTACCAGCCATCATGGGGAACAGGTCTTGTGGAGGCCGGGCGCAATCAGCAGCAGGCTCGGAACCTGTAGGACCCTCCTGAAGCATGGTGTTGCTGGTAACCGCAGAACCGGGGATTGTAACAGGTACGTTACCGGCAGTATCAGGTGATGTATCAGGTGTATCCTGTGCCCAGATGCCTCCTTGTTCGAACACCACAGGGGAGGTGGGAGGAAAGACCAAAGGAGGGATGAAGGAATGATTCCCTTGGGACGTTACTGGTCCTGTTGGTGCTGTTGCTGGTGCTGATGCTGCTGCTGCTGCTGCTGCTGTGACCCCTCCTGCTGCTTCTTCTTCTGCTGCTTCCCCTGCCTGGAAAACCGTGTCGCACGGTCGCTTCTGCCTCTTAGCTAATTGCCAGGGATCCGGATGACTAGAACCAGGGATTGCGGTAGCAGGAGGAGGAGACGGAGTAGAGTCAGTGTGGTGGGAAGAGGTGGGAGGGGATGGGGAGACGAGTGTGGGGGATGAACCGGGGGAAACGGAGCTTTGCAAGGATCCAAAGACGAAGAATGTAGTAGGTGCGGTGGCAGCGGCAGCATTTGCAGCAGCAGCAGCAGCAGCAGCAGCAGCGTTGGCAGTGGCAGCAGCAGCAGCAGCAGCATCAGCACCAGCACTAGAAGCATTAGTAGTAGCCAGATTGTTTTGCAGTGAAAGGGTTGTGCTGTGTGGTTCTCGTGCTGATTCTGATGCTGGTGCTGGTGCTGGCACTGCCATCACAGCTGCTTCTGCCACGGCTGCCGCACCTGCTTCTACTCCTGCTTGTGCTTGTGCTTGTGCTTGTGCTTGTGCTGCTGCTGCTGCTGCAGATTCGACATGATGACTGCTTCTGCTGCTGCTGCTGCTGCTGATGTTGCTGCTGTGAAGACTGCTGATGCAGAAATGTCGTGCTTCCACATGCCTTGAGCCGACCAATGTTGTTCACAGGACCAGCCATATGTCCGTAACCGTCAGCACTAACAGCACGAGCAGCATCAGCATTCCCCTCCTCCTTCTCCTTGCCACTCCTTGTCTCTTCCATGCTCGTTTCGTGGTTGCTGTTTTGGAAACTCTTGGAACCTTGCCCACCCTCCTCGTGTCCTCCATTCGCTGCTGATTCTCTTATATCCTCCGCAACACAAGCAGCAGTGCCAGCGGCAGCGGCACCATCAGCAGCAGCAGCCGCAGTGGGAGCAGCAACAGCAGCAGCAGCAGCAGCAGTGGCAGCAGCAGTGGCAGCGGCGGCAGCAGCGGCAGTTCCCGGGGAAACAGCAGCGGTAGCAGAAGGGGCATCTGCAATCGCAATAGTAGCACACTCAGCATAGTCCCCATTACCCATCATTGTTCCCGCATCTTTTCCCAACCAATCCCCCAATCCAACCCCAAATTCCTTCTTTTTTCCTGTTGGTGTAACTGCAGCCCGCTCTTCTCCCTCCCTTGGAGACCCATCTGCTCGGTTCCAACCTGCCCGATCGACACCTGCTTCGGCAGATCCTGCCCGGAAAACACCTGTCTGGGAAACGCCTGCCCCAGAACTACCTGGATTGCTGGAGCTCAAGGAACGATGCTTTGCTGCCAGCCTGGATGCCACGTCAGACAGCTGTAGCAGGGTGGAGAGAAAACGGGGGAAATGGGTGAGAGGGAGGTATTGGGTTTAAACTTAAAAGTGAACAAAGAGTGGGGTTGGCGGCAAGCCAGAGAGGTGCATAGGGGTTGGATGAGAGATAGAGGTGTGAAGGGAGAGGACGGGACACATCAAGTGTCTGAAGGAACATTCTGCTTCACAGTCTGTTCCTTGAGGTGTGAAACTTCCGCAGATGCATGAATAATTTGCTTGTTATGGCAGTTCCAAGCTATCATCTCAAAGAGGCTTATCATCATTATCCAGGAAATTTTTGTTGTGGACGCTTATCAGTACAGGCAACCTTGCTTATTATCACCCCCTTTGGACCAGATAACCTCTCACCTTGCTTGAGATCTCCTCCTTATCCAGGAGTGTGTGGTAACCCGCCTTCAGCAGCTCAATATCACCGCTCTTGCCACTTGCTGACGCTTATCTTCACAGCCTAATCTGCTTAACGTTCTCCCCAACCCCACTTATCAACCCAGCCTACACCCCTTATCACACACCTTGCTGGTTAGCTCCTCCTTGTTATCCAGGAGGGTGTGGTAATCCGCTTGAAGAAGCTCGTAATCCGCACTCATGCCACTCTACACCCCTTATCACCCCTCACCTTGCTGGTTAGCTCCTCCTTCTTATCCAAGAGGGTGTGGTAGTCCGCTTGAAGCAGCTCATAATCCGCACTCATGCCACTCGCTGACGCTTGCAGGCGAGAAAAGGCTGATCGGAGGGTTTCTAGCTCTGCTTGTTGCTGCTTCACTGTGTGCTGCAGGCGACGGTGGTGCAACCAGGAAGAGATCTGCAGGTGAAAAGGGAAATAGAGGGTAAGGAGGAAAGAAAGAAATAGGCATTGGAAATGCGTTGCTGTGACTGAAGTAGACAGCAGGCCGATCGGAGGGACTCTAGGGGTCTGCCTGCTGCTGCTGCTGCACTGTGTGTGTGCTGTAGGCGCCGGTGGTTCAACCAGGAGGAGATCTGGACACGGGGAGGGGAATACAAGTTAAGGAGGAAAGATAAAGCCACTGGAAATGCGTTGCTGTGACTGACGAAGGGAGAAGGCGGATCGGAGGGACTCCAGCTCTGCTTGTTGCTGCTGCACTGCGTGCTGTAAGCAACGGTGGTGCAACTAGGAGGCGACCTGGAGGAAGGGAAGAGGGTGAGGGGGGGTAGAAGGGAGAGAAGGAGAGGCGGAGAGAAGATGAGAGCGGCAATGTGTTGCTGGTGGTTGCTGTTGTTGCAGGGAATGTTCAACTCAATCTACAGTTGCTCGGGCGTACCTGCTGTGGCAGCAGCCCGAGGCTGTTGCCGAGGCTCGCTTTTTGCTCCGGAGACGGGTTCAGGTCCATGCCGAACCACTCCTCAAGCTTCTTGATTTGGAAATCCGTCAGGCTCGGCAGCCACAAGCCGTGCTCCGAACCACTCACTATAAACTCCTCCTCACCCCCCTCTGTAATCACACCGTGTCCTGTCACACCCGTTGAAGTCACATTCGGTACAGTCACACTCGGTACTGTCACATTTCGTACAGTCACACCACCTAATACCATTTGCATTTCCTGCATCCCGTCAGCAGCTCCTGCGTCCCGCTTCCGATCTTTCCCTTGTTCCGAACCTCCCTCCGAACTTCGCTTCGGACTTTGCTCCGAGCCTTCACCTGACCCGAAGCTGAATACCGGGCCACCCAATGCTTCCATTCCTTCGCCTGCAGCAGCAGCCGCGGCAGCAGCAGCAGCAGCAGCAGCAGCCGCAGCAGCAGTAGTTTCAGCTGCCCTTTTCTCTGCATCCTCATTCCCACCCTCTCCCGCAGTGGTTGCCACATGCCTTGGTGCCTTCCCCTCGCCAGAATCACACTCCATGCCCGTCGAAACCCCTCGCTCGTTACAGTCACCGTGTGCATAGTCACCCCTTTGCATATAGTCACATCCCTGCAGCACCTGCTGCTGCTGCTCCTGCCGCTGTTGCTGCAGCTCCTGCTGCTGCCCTTCTGAGAGTGTGCTTCCACTGAGAGTTTCGCTATTAGCTCTCAGCATAAACTCTTGCACAAATTCATCTTCCCTTCCTCCTCCTCCTCCTCCGCCTCCCCCCCCTCCTCCTCCGCCTCCCCCCCCTCCTCCTCCTCCCCCCATTCCTTGCCCACGTGACAACACCCGTTTTTCCACAAGCGGGGAAGGGGAAGCAAGCGAGTGAGGGGGAGAAAGCGGGGGAGGGGAAGCAAGCGAGTGAGGAGGAGCAAGCGGGGGAAGGGGAAGGAGAAGGGATGGGGGAGCGTGGGGCCCTTTTTCCGCTATCAGACAAGGATTCCCCGGAGAAAGAGACGAAGCAGCGACAATAGCAGTAGCAGCATTAGCAGGGGTTGCAACAGGAGGGAAGGCCGCAGCAGGAGGGGCAGCTGCCGGGTTTGGAGCCCCCACGAGCACGATTTTCTTCATGACCGGGGCAGAAATCTGGGCAGAAATCTGGGCAGAACTTCTTGCAGGAGTGTGAGGAAAGTTGTGGTGGTTTCCGCAGGGGGAAGGCAGAGGTGGGGCAGATGGGGGGGCGCAGGGGGGAGGTTGGTGGGGTGCGGGGAGACCTGCGGGGAGGGGGAGCGGGTGGGGGAAGGGGGGGAGTGGAGGAGAGGGGGTGTGGGCACAGGAAGGAGGAGCATGGGGGAGAATGCGGCAAGCAGAGGAGAGAGACGGAAGGGCATAGTACAAGGAAAGAAAGAAAAGAAAAGAAACAAAAATAAGGGGGGGGGGGGGGAAAGAGCGGTGGGGTATTATTATGGGTCTGAATCAAGTATGGGGATTCTCAGGAAAGCAGCGGGTTTTACCATATGGCGTTTGGTAGACTATTTCGTAACCACATGACAAAGGGGAATTACGGTAGCAGAGGGTGTTACCATGGGTAAGAGCGAGTTTGCTGGAAAGAGACTGCCCCTGGTGGTTCGGCAGACCACTTTGGTTCGGTGAATGACCGAACTGATTCGTGAAACCATTCTGGTTCGGTGACGGTCCGAGTTGGTTCGGCAGCCCATTTTGGTTTGGCGAGATGCTGAGCTGGTTCGGCAGATTCTGGTTAAGCTGCTGCTGCTGCTGCTGCTGCTGCGGCTGCTGCTGCGGCTGCTGCTGTTGTTTCCTCTGCACTCCTCTACCCTCCTGCCCCTTCTTCTGCCCGTTTTTCCTCCCTACCTTCTCACCGCGGCCAACTCCGACCCGCAACCCTGCACCAAAACTTCCGTCGCCCCTGCCCGAATCGAAATCTTGTCTGCCCATACGAAAATTCCCGAAGTCGTGTACCTCCGCGCTTCCGTCCCACATTTCCTCGGGTTTATACCCGCCCAAAGGATTCGCCACTGCCCGCGCTGCATCCGCCGCGCCGCCTATCGCGTCCGCGCTGAACGCACTCGCGCATTCCGCACCACCAGCGCCGTTCGCGGCGCGATTTCCGCCAGCGCTTGCGCCTCCCCGGCCTTGCGGAGACGCGGATGCCACGGGATCTGACGTGGCGCGCGGCGTGCGCGCTTTGGCCTGCGCACCCCTGGTGCTGCTTGTCGGAGTGGACGGGATTTCCGCCGCGCTCCCCTCATGTTGCGCCAAAGAATCCGCGAAAAACTGCAGCACCGAAGCCAGCGCAGCAGCCTGCGACGAATCGCCGTTACCAGTTTCGCCACGCGTGCTCTTCGTGGATGGCGAGGGCTCGAATTCCGCGCACGCCTGCCCTCCGCCTCCGCGGGAAAGCATTCCGCCGTCTGCGCCCGGCGGAGCAGCGGCAACATGCGTTCCTCCCGCTGCGCTCCTTCCGTTGATTGCCCCTCCGCCTCCCCCCTGTTGTTTCCGCGGCCTGACTTGCCCTTGCGCGTGTTGCATTCTCGGATGCTGCTGTTGCTGGTTTCCAATTCCCTCGCGCTCCTGCTGCGAATTTCCGCTCTTCAAGTTTCCGCCCCCCAGGTTTCCGCCCCCCCGCGCTGCTGTTCCGCCAGCCGCGCGCTCTCCTCCACGATACCTTCCACGAAGTCACGGTACCTTTCCGCCGACCATTCGCTCCCCGCGCCCCCCCCACCCCCCGCGCCCCTCCCGCGCGCTTCCGCTACCGGCGGAATTCCCCCCAATTCTTCCGCGCCAACCAGCCTCCCATTTGCGCGCAATCCCGACCCCGGAATCCCGTCCGCGTGCATTCCCTCTCGCGCGAACATTGCGCCCGTCCCCGCGCCGGCCATTGTAGCGCCAATCTTTTCTCGCGTCGCTTATTGGATACTACTAATATCTGCTCGTCTCGTCTCCCACCTCTCCCTGCTCCCTTCGAAATACCCTGTCGCTGCTACTCTAGGTCACGCTACGTGCGCCCCGCTACGTGCGCCCCGCTACTTGTGCGCCGCGCACATTGCCAATCGCGAATCTCGAGAGCTGTTGTCGAGCCGCCTAGGGAAACGCACATTGTCAATTAGCGCCAGTCGGTACTCCAGTTCTGCGCGCTTGCGTCTCCGCGAGATCCAAGTTCCGCGCGCTACCCAAGCTCCGCGCTACCAAAGCTCCACAAGATCCAGCTCCGCGCTAGTAGTGGTATTTCCGCGCAATTCCGCCTCGGCGGAATTTCTCTCCCCGCGAGGTTCCGCCTCGCGCGCTTCTGTTTCAATGCGCTTTCTCGTTTCGAACTGCGCAAACTTGAAGTAAGCGGGAATGCCGGCGGAAAATATCCAAAGGGAACCGCTTTACAGCGTTGATTCAATTGCACCACGCTAAGAGAACGAGGGAAGCAGAGTAATCGCGCTAGTCTCTACCCGGACCGTGTTCCCTTGTCTGACGGTCAAACGGAATCAGAAATACAGTCGCCCACTGAACGGCTGCGATGCAAAATTGGTGCGGTGATGCAAAATCTTGCCTGTCCCAGGTGATGCCTTGTCATGTTGAGATGTTGTGATTGTCTCGCCTTCTGTGGCTTCTCACAACCCCACCTGAGATTATCACCAGGAGGGTCAACAGATTTCATTTGGTCGTTGGGGCGTGTTGATGCAGGCCGGAGGAACGAGTGGGGGAGGAGGGGAGGAGAAGGAAGGCGGCAGAGAGCTGATGGCAGGAGGGGGCTTCTTGACAGGCGCGCACGGGCAGGCAGGCGGAAAGGAAAGTCGCAAGGCGAGTGGTAAAGAGTGACGTGAGTTGTCGTGACGTGACGGGATGAGACGAGAGGAGATGAGATGGTGGCATTGGTCACCGAGATGACTGGCAGGAAGGGGAAAGGAAAGAAGCAGCATTTGAATGCAAGGTTGATGCACCGAAAGGCGCTGCTGAGCGCAAGGGATGGGGAAAGCGGGAGCTGGGAGAGGAGAATTGAGAGGGGGTTAGAGGAGGGGAAGGGACAAGCTTGGGCGGATGAGGGGGGAGGAGGGTGTGGGGAGGAGGGGACGGAAACGTGGGATGGGGGGAGGAAGCCAAGCAGCAGACTGTCACGCAGGGGGGTCTGCCCCGCCCTACAGTGAACGTGGCCACCCATCAGTGGCCACCAGTCAAGGGCCTCCTCCGATACACGACTGTTCACTACAGTACGATGCTTCGGAACAGCGACTCGGCTTGGCAAGGGTGAAGAAGTGATCGTAGGCGAAGATTTAAGTGTCGTTTGTAACGCCATTGGAGGCGTTTCGCAGTACGTCGTTTGCTCGCTGATTAGATAAAAGATATTTCGCGCAAGCGGCGATATTTCAGGTGAGGTCTCGACCTGTCCAAGAACATGGGATGCGATTCTTCCCCCTGCGATCCGGAGTGTCCAAACTTAGGAAAATCGCAGCAGGGACTTTTCGTACTCAAGGTGCAACCGCACCGCCCCCCTCAGCCCTGCCCCCCGTCACGCGTCCACGAAATAAACGACGTGAGTAACTCAGTTGCAATTTACCAGCCCTCGGCAGCCATCGCGAACTATGTTCCGTAAGGCCAAACCACGATTGTCCCGGCTGTGAGCGAAACAAACGACAACTGGCAAATTGTGAAAGCACCCCCACTGCTGACGCTCTGCGGGCCTCCCCCCTGCCCCCACACACCACCGCCAACGTGGCAAAGTAACACCAAAATTTTATCCAGGGTTCATGGAATGGCGAATCCAAGTCACCAAGCACAGGTGCACACCTGGCAAACGACGATTGATAGCTGCGTTGGCAAGTTCCGCAAGAATATCGTTGACGGGCAGTGCTGATGTCCCACACGAGCGAGATCATGAGTCAACCAATCAAGTGATCGAGTTCGATTGAGAACATAGCGCCCTCGATAGTTGAAATATAAGATGATACTTCGGTATGTATCTTAAGATGCAACTCCAGCACTTAAGACTTGACAACGACAAAGCAATTGCACTCAAAACCCATTAACCAAAAACACTATCCTGAGCCCAACCAGCAGAGAGTATCGATGCCATTCCCAAGTAAAGTAAACGACCACGACCGATTCCAACTACCATTTATAAAAAAAATGAACGCTCAAACGAAAAGACATGCATCAGCTCATCCACACACAAACCAAACATCAGCATTGTACGCTCTGCATCTTCCTCCTCTATAACCAACCGCCCATGCCACACTCCCTGCCTCTGCCTCCACTTCCTGCTGCAAAGTACGCACCAAAACCCCAACAATTTCATAACCACTCCACATCCCTCCCCATCCCCCTCACCGAAGGCAAAGAATGGTCAGAGCACATGCATTGTCACAAACTGCACCTGCATTCCTTCCATGCTGTTCACAGCACATCAATGGACACCCCATCATCTCTCTTCATGCCATCATCTCCCCCCACTCCACATCCCGCCATTGACACCCCTTAGTCACCCCAACCGCTCCACACCCCTGTAACTCCCCTGTAACGAATACTGCCCTCGCCCTCCACTCCTTCAACCTACTGCACCCCAATGGACGCCATCAGCTTCTCATACTCAGCATCTTCCCCTGCAGGGGCAGGCGAAGCAGCAGGAGGCCTGGCACCCGCGAAACCCGCCCCCCCCCTGCTGGTAACCACCCGGACCAGGAAACCTCGGCGCCCCCATAGCCTCCGGCCCTCCGGAAAAGAAGGAGGCGGGGCAAAAGCAGATACAGGCTCTATTGCACTCCAATCGATGCCGTCAGATTCTCATACCCCGCATCTTCCGCTTCTCCCTGTCCCCCTGCAGGCGCAAAGGGAGCAGCAGGGGGACTGGCGCCCCCCTGCTGGTGACCACCCGGTGCAAAAGGACCAGACTCAACTGCACTCCAATCGATGCCATCAGCTACTCATACTCCACATCTTCCGCTTCTCCCTGTCCCCCTGCAGGAACAGGCGGTCTGGCACCCCCAAAACCCGCACCCCACTCCCCCCTGCTGGTAACCAGCCAGACCAAATGCTGCATTCAGCTTCAGCAGACCCAGACTCTACTGCACCCCAATGGACGCCATCAGCTTCTCATACTCGGCATCCTCTTCTCCCTGTCCGCCTGCAGGCGCAGACGGGGCAGCAGGGGGCCTAGCACCCGCGAAACCCGGACCCCCCTGCTGGTAACCACCCGGACCAGGAAACCTAGGCGCCCCCACAGCCCCAGGGAAGGGGGGAGGCGGACCCCCTTGCCCAAACCCAGGAGCGCCACCAGGGCCAAAGGGGGAAGGCGGAGCTCCCCCAGGCCCCCTAGGTCCCCCCATCCCCCCCGGTCCCCCCATTCCTCCCATTCCCCCCGGTCCCCCCATTCCCCCGGGTCCCCAGGCAGGGCGGGGGCCACCAGGTCCCCCCATTCCCCCAGGTCCCCCGAACCCCTGGGGGGGCCCAGGCCCCCACTGAGGGGGAGGCGCGAACTGGTTACCACCGAAACCGCTGCCCGGCATGGGGGGACGTCCGGGCATGTAGGGAGGGGGGGCGCCAGCTGGAGGGGTGAAAGGAGGCTGGCCTGTAGGCGGGCCCCTGGGGGGCCCATAGCCCATGCTTCCGCCCATTCCTCCCCCCATTGGTCCCCCCATTCCTCCCCCCATCCCAGGTCCAGTTGCCCCCAGACCCCCTCCTGCCCCTCCTCCTCCTCCTCCTCCTCCTGCTCCTGCTCCTGCTCCTGCTCCTGCTCCTCCTGGTGCTCCTCCTGGTGCAAACCCGCCTGCCTGGGGCTGCTGCTGCTGGTGCTGATAAAACCCACCTCCCTGCTGTCCCAGCTGCTGCGGCTGCCCCTGCTGCTGCTGCTGTCCCAGCTGCCCCTGCTGCCCCTGCTGCTGCTGCTGCTGCTGCCACGAAGGAGCACCATAGGCGCCCGCAGCAGGGGGCATGGGCGGAGGCGCGGGCTGGTCTGTGGGCGGGGGCGGGGGAGGGGACTCCCCGCTGCTGGGCGGAGGGGGAGGCGGGGGCGGGGGGGAGCTGGGCTGGGGCGGCGGGGGGAAGGCAGGGGGGGCGGGCGCTGCTGCCCCTGCTTGTGCCATCCCATACTGTTGCTGCTGCTGTGGCGGCTGCTGCTGTTGCTGCTGCTGGGGAGGCTGCTGCTGGGGAGGCTGTTGCTGGGGAGGCTGCTGCTGCGAATACTGCTGACCAGCGGAAGCAGGCGGGGCATAAGCTCCCCCTGGGGCTGGGCCAGGCGCATACCCCTGCCCCTGCGCGGAGCCATAACCTTGCCCCTGCGCGGACCCCTGCCCATATCCCTGCCCATACCCCTGCCCCTGCGCGCCCCCATAGCTCTGCCCAGTGGACGGGCCAGGTGGTGGTGCTCCATACCCCGAACCAGACGGTCCAGGAGGTCCGGAAGGAGGTCCGGAGGGAGGTCCGGAAGGAGGTCCGGAAGGAGGGCCATACCCGGCCGGCCCAGATGGCCCGGGAGGACCAGATGGAGGTCCGGTGGGAGGTCCGGAGGGAGGTCCGTACCCAGGTGCGGGGCGGGGAGGGCCGTACCCAGACGGACCAAGAGGAGGGGCCTGGTACCCAATCCCTGTGCGCTGACGGGGCGGCATTCCTTGTCCTGTCTGCTGCTGGGGCGGCGGGTAGGAGGAGGGGGCGTCTGTGGGCCCACCGTCCATTCTCGGCAGCTTGCTGGCACGATCGTCCCCCCACGCTGGGCCAGGGTGGCTGGACGGCGGTTGACCCTGCTGACCGGGTTGACTCGGTTGACCCGGCTGCTGATGTGGCGGCGGATAGGGCTGCTGCTGCTGCGGCGGCGGCTGCTGCTGAGGCTGATACCCCTGCTGCTGCTGGGGAGGAGGGTACTGCTGCTGCGGGTACTGAGACTGCTGCTGCTGCTGCGGCGGCGGCGGCTGCTGCTGCTGCTGCTGACCGTACACCCCTGGGCCTGTGGCAGGGGGCGCTCCCCCCGCCCCCACTGCAGGATACCCCCCCACGGGCGGGGGACCCTGCCCCCGGGGAACCATAGGGGGACCAGGCGTCAGGCTTGGGCGAATAGGCTGCTGACCTGGCATGCCCACGTGGCTGTACGCGTTTCCTCCCTGCTGACCTGGCTGCTGACCTGGCATTCCGGGGGGACCCTGCCCTGGGGCGAAAGGGCGTGGGAATGACGAGGGCGCAGGGCGGCCGGGGGGAGGTCCGCCCATGCCTGCCGGGGGGTAGGACCCGGGGGGAGGACCCCCTGGGGGGCCCCGCCCAGGGGGGTACGAACCTCCCCCCGGCGCTCCCCCTCCCCCTGGCCCCCCACGGTTACCACCATAACCACTGTCACTGTAACCGCCGCGATTGTAACTGTCACCACCCCTGTACCCGTCCCCGCCCCTGTACCCATCACCACCACCCCTGTACCCATCTCCACCCCTCCTATCTCCATAAGAACCGCCCCTGCTATCCCCCCTACTATCCCCTCTGCCGTCTCCCCTACCACCATCGCCTCTCCCATCCCCCCTACCATCACCCCTTCCGTCCGGCCCGCCTGTGCCTGCATTGATTTCGTTGAGAAAGGACTGATACTCCTGATCCATACCCTTGCCCTGTGGGAGGAGAGAGAGGGGCGCGCACAGGGATACACGGAGAGGTGAGCAGCTGCTCAGTACGCAGAGGAAGGACTGATACTCCTGATCCATACCCTTGCCCTGTGGGAGGAGAGAGAGGAAAAGGGGGAACACAGACAGGGGCGAGGGACGAGGTGAGGTAAGTAGATTCTGGGAGACGCAGGGCCATCTTAGGGAGAGAGGGGGGTAGAGACAAGCTCCAAGGAGCTGATCAGAGGCGAGGGATTTTTAAGAATTCTCAAAAATCGCTCAGAGGGAGAGGTGAGTAGAGAGAGGGCCCAAGGAGCTGATCAGAGGAGAGGTTGATCAGCACCTCTCGGTACCGAGAAGAACAGCAGGCACACAGGCAGAGGCGAGGGACGAGGTAGGTAGAGGGGGGTGGGTAGCGGCAGGCAAGCAGAGGGGAGGGACGAGGGGGGTAGAGGCGGATGGGTGGAGGCAGGAGCTTACTGGCGGCCCTCCGGCCCTCCTCCTGGGGCAATCAACGGTCGGATGGCCTCCATCTCCACAGATGGCGCACGTGACCTGCGATCACCACCACACAAACAAGGACAGGGGCAGACACAGGTGGGTTGAAGTAATTACCACAAACGGCTTAGCTGAATAAGCACAGCTGGTGAGGGCTATTTGCAGACAGATGCGGAAGATTTACCTGGTTAACACATGGTTACTAACTGGTTACCACCTGGCTACCATAACGTAACACTGGCCTTAGCGTTGAAAGTCTGCAGCTTCTCCTTGGGGCACTGGAAGTCCCTGTGGCCCGGCTCCCCTCACAGGAAGCACACCTGCTGCTGGTGCCGGTGCTGCTGCTGCTACCACCTGCCCTACACCTGGTTACCACCTGGTTACCAGCTTTGGTACCAGCTCCGAATGAGACATACCTTGGCATTGGACGTCTGCAGACTCCCATTGGGGCACTGGAAGTCCTTGTGGCCCGGCTCCCCTCAGAGGAAGCACACCTGCTGCTGCTGTAGGGTTACCACCAAGCCTACTTATCTGAATAAATGGTTACCACCTGGTTACCAGCCATACCTTGGCGTTGAAGGTCTGCAGCTTCTCCTTGGGGCACTGAAAGTCCTTGTGGCCCGGCTCCCCGCACAGGAAGCACACCTGCTGCACGTCCTTCATCGTTCCGTTCATCAGCGCGAGCTCTCTCAGCTGCTTGCGCCGGTGAATGTTCCTCCATTCCTGTTGGTACAGGAGAAGAGAGAGAAGGAAAGGGCGGGAAAAGAAGCATGGGAGCATTTTTTAGTCGACTCACAAGGCATGCGCATTGGGACAGTCGCCACACGCACTAGGAGCACACCATCACCGGCTGCAAGTCCTTCCTCGTTCCACTCATCAGAGCGACGGGTAAACATCAATCGCCACGCTCTCTCAGCTGCTTGCACGGGTAAATGCTTCGCCACTCGTCCACAGCAGCATCCACCTTCTCTTCTCCAGCTTATCCGCACAGATGCACACATGTAGATCCTCGCTCGCTCTCTCTGTACACCCGCCTGTTACACGCACCCACCTACCTGGTAACCCGCCTGTTACAGCGTTCCAACACTCACAACAATGGGGGTCAAAAGTGGCTCGATCATATCCACAGCAGCATCCACATTCTCTTCTCCAGCTTGTCCGCACAGATGCACACATGCAGATACTCGCTCACTTACCCAGCCTGTTACACGCACTCGAGTACCTGGTAACCCTGTTACTCACGTCAATGGGGGTAAGAAGAGGCTCGATCATGTCAACGACAGCATCCACCTTCTCCAGCTTGTCCGCGCAGATATACACACGCAGATCCTCGCTCGCTTTCTTTGCACCCGCCTTCTATCAAGCACAGCTGGTTACACGCACCTATGTGGTAACCCGCCTGATGAAACTCACATCTATCGGGGTGAGCAGTGGCTCAATCATGTCAACAGCAGCGTCCACCTTCTCCAGCTTGTCCGCGCAGATATAGACGTGCAGGTCCTCGCTCGCTTCCTTTGCAGACCACAGCTGGTTACACGCACCTATGCAGATATAGACGTGCAGATGTAGACGCGCAGATATAGACGTGCAGATGTAGACGCGCAGATATAGACGTGCAGGTCCTCGCTCGCTTCCTTACCCCGCCTGTTGGGGCACCCACCTACTGGCAACCCGCCTGGTTACAATAATGTTCATGCAACTTACGTCAATGGGGGTCAGAAGCGGCTCGATCATGTCAACAGCAGCATCCACCTTCTCCAGCTTGTCCGCGCAGATGTACACGTGGAGGTCCTCGCTCGCCCCCTCCTGGTACTTGTCTTTCTGTTTGACAGACAAGGGGAAAATGCAAAAGGGAGAAGAGAACAAAGACTTTAGAACGGCGAAGGAAGTGAGAGAGGGATGAGCAGCCGGATTTAACAAGGTCTCGCTTGCTCCCCTCATGGTGTGGTACTTGTCGTGCTGCTAACACGAGACAGACGCGAGAGCTAGGGCGTAATGCAAGGACGAAGCAGGAAACAAGGACGAGCAGTGCAGTACAGTGCAGTACGGTACCGACCAGCAACAAGCAGTCTTACCTTTCCTTCTTTCGTTGCGCCCTTCCCTCGGATCACGATACGAGCACCCGTCTCCTGCAACCAGGGCAAAAGATAGGAACAAGACAAAGTTGCATGACAAATGTGGAAAACAAGAACGACGTGTGCATGGGCGATGGAAGGAGTATTCAGGAAAGTGTATTGCAAAGGATTGAAAGGAATTTACGTGTGTATTGCGAAGGACTGCAAAGGGAATTTACGAGTGTTGCTGCAAAGGTGAATCTCCCTGTTCCATCCGCTTTTGAGTGTTGTCGCGTGGGCCTATAATGAGGCCGATGAAGTTGTAGCCCGGGTATTCCTTCACCAGCTCATGTTTGCAACGTACACCTTATAAGCAGCCTTGACAACCTTTACAAGCCCTCACCTGTTCCATTCGCTTTTGAGTGTTGCCGCGCGGGCCTATAATGAGGCCGATGAAGTTGTAGCCCGGATATTGCTTGACCTGCTCGTGATTGTATGGAGGGCGGCGGTAGTGCGCACACACGTGTGTGATAGAGACGGTACGACGGACGGACGCATGCCGGACAGAGGAAGAAGGGCAGGAAGGCGCGCGGAAGGCGGAAGGGCGGAAGACAGGAGGGCGGAGGAGAAAGGGCGAGGGAGAAATGCAGGGAGAGGGAGAGGGGGCGAGAAGGGGGGCGGGAGGACATGGGCGGGGATGGAGAAGAAAAGAGGGAAGAGGGTAGGGAAAGAGGGAGACGCAGAGCGTGCGAGAAAGGGAGTCGAGAAAAAAACACAGCAGAGACAAAAATCAACAAGTCAGATAATTAAAAAAAAAAAATACCAACAGCGATGAGGGAGGGACGAAGCAGCAATATCACGTGGTGCAGTGTAGGCCAGAGAAATTACCACGCCTTTCTGGACAACTGTACGCGTTAACGGATGTCATCAACCGCCACTGGCAAAACACTTGCGAAGCAAAGCAGACTAGCGCATGACACAGGGAAGTACAGAAGGATTGTTTGGAAATGTGAAAATTAGGTTTTCTCAGGCTCAAACTTCGCCGACTACATTCTATCTCCTACCGATTCCGGATCAAGCGCGTACACACCAACTGCGGACTTGAAATCTTATTTTCAAAGGTTGCAGGGGGAAAAGACAACTAGGCTGGCAGCACGGAATGCTGCCGCTTTAAGAAACCGTACTCGACAGCGACTTACCCGACAGAAAACCTACGGAAATGTGGAAATACAAAAACAGGGAACTCGTATCCGAAATTGGAATCTCGGAAAATTCGTCATTGCGACTTACCGGCACGAAGAGCTTTGCCTCCTCAAGCACAGGCTTGTAACCCGCAGGTGGCTTGAAGTGGGGGTTAAGATTGATACACTCAGCTGTACGGACGTATTAAAATAGGAAAAAAAAAGTAAAAGAAACAGCATGAGAAGCCAAACAATGTCGTTGAGTTTAACAAAAAACAGCAGATACTGACGCAGAAATGAAAAAACTAAGAAAAACAGGAAACGATTAAGCATGTAAATCTAAATGGCCATACCTATTGCTCTGCGCTTTTCAATGTCAAGCTGATCCCGCTTCCTTTGCTGGAAGAAAAAAAACAAGAACGAAAAAATAAGCGAGAAGAAAACCAACGAATGGAGATAAATCATCCGAATTAGCATATCTGAGTCAGAGGAGTAGAAAAAAATCTCGACACGACAAGCATAACGACTGGCAAAGCGGGGACTACAGATGGAACGGGATACTGGAAATAAGTCGGCTACGCTGCTAATAACGAAAATAGCGTACGTCGCGGTGTAATGTTCTGACCCATGTTGTCGCAGACAAACGACCTATTCCAACAATTAGCCTTTTAAACAGTTTCAAATTTCACAAATAGAACAAATCGATGTTGACTGATAATGGAAAAAGGCAGTAACGTACATCGCGGGTGTTGAGGCGCTGGCCCATGTTGTCGTAGATCGGCGGCGGAGACGGCGAGCGCGTGGCCTCGTTCTCGTCGATCTCCAGCGTGTTCAGCTCCAGCTGCGACGAGATCTGCTCGATTCGCGTCTGCAGGATGTAACAGAAAGAAAGAAAGAAAGAAAAACCAGATATAAATTTGAAAAGGATATCAGCCGGAACTGCGAGAACGTGGCCTCGTTCTCGTCGATCTCCAGCGTGTTCAGCTCCAGCTGCGACGAGATCTGCTCGATGCGCGTCTGCTGAAAAATATAAACGGATGAAACATGAATCTGTGGAGCGAAACAACTTAAAAAAAAGAGGGATATCAGCTCCTCACATAAATCAATTCAAGATCTAAACCAACACCAAGCGAGGAATACCGACCTCCTAGCCTTTCAAAACATCTCGGAACACGAGTATCACTTCCGAGGCTTTTAAAATGTCTTTAATCTCATATACACTAAGAGCCATCTAGGTTCAAAAACCGACGGCGTACCTGAATGGCCAGCGCGCGACCCCTTCGCGTCGCGGGATCCAAAAGCGGATCTGGCCCCCACCGGCACTTCCGAGGGCGCCTCGGCTTATCATCCTCCGCCTCCTCACCAGCCTTTGTAACGCTTCCCCCAACCGGCACGATTGCCAAAGATTGCCCGGGAATCGAGATTTTGTTCTTGGGAATGACGAACGAGGGTGTTTTAACCGGCTCCGGATTGGCTACGGACGACGCGGCGGCAGCGGCTTGCTCCTCGGACTGGCCAGAAGCGCGCGCCGCCATAAAGGCGGCGGCGACTCGCTTCGCCGCTTCTGCCGCCTCCGCGATGTTCACCACGGAAGGCATGTTGACGTGCGTCGGAGGGTCCCTTTCCCAACCACGACGATCGGGCCCCTAAGGGCGTGCGAAGGGCAGAAACGTGAGCGAAACAGTTCTTAGAAAGCCACAGAAACCACGCCCTATGCTAAGAAAGTAGAGAGCCAAGCTAACAAGACTAAGAGCTGTGGACGTTCTGAATCTGATGGACAACTAATACCTCGCAGAAGGAGATGAGAAAGAAACCTCGGCGCTGGTTTTGAAGGGGGTGGCTAGGGTTTGGTTTGCTGTTGCTTCGGGAAAGGGGAAAATCGTTTTGGAGATGTAACCACTACACGATACATAGCCTAAGTCCGCTAAAGAATTAGCGGGGTCGACTAAGTCGAGGATGAAACGCGGCGGAAGACTTTGGCGAAAGAACTATTGGCGAAATAGGCGAAGGAGTTACTGAGTAATTGAAGAGTTGAATGAGAATTGGTTGAGAAATGGTTGATATTGGCAAGTACAAGAGATGTTTATATTGCGAACAAGAGAGAACGTTGGAAAGTAGCTTGTGGGACTGAGAATTGGAAAGCTAGAAGAGTGGAGTGCCACGTGACACAAGGAAATCCAAGGAAATCCCAAAGGGATTGGATGGAGATAAGGTTGGGATTGGGTTGGGGGACTGTTTAGGGTAAACCATCCGTAAACAGTAAACTACCCCGTAACACTACCCCCCTCCTAAGGAGGTGACGTCCGCGACGCTTGCAGACTGAAGGTACGCTTTGAGGCAAGCGTTGTCAGGAGACAGCGAGGACGAAGGAACCCAGCTGTCGTCGGCTGCATCGTAACCACGCCAACGAACCAAGAAGTCGATGAAAGAGACACCTCCCTGCAGACGGCGACGGTGCCTGAGGATGCGCTGGATCTGGTAGTCGGGCTCGTCGGTGTCAACAGCTACCGGCAGTGGAGTGCGATCACGGCCCGAGAAGGTGGCGTTGGGATCGGTGTAAGGACGAAGGAGAGACACGTGGAATGACGGGTGCATGCGGAAATGAGCGGGAAGGCGGAGGCGGTATGCGACTGGACCAAGTGCGTGCTCAATAACAAATGGTGTTAAATTGTAATGTCTTACATGTTGGTAGGCTGTAGTGGGGTAGCCAATATGGGGTACAACCCCAACTAGGGTTTGCTACTTGTACCCAACTGTTTCATTCAATGCACCATTCTTGCCTAGTCTTGTTGACATGGTATTCAGAGCAGGAGGTCCCTAGGACCTACCGACCGTTTTTTTAGGGCCCACCACCGCTCGCATGCGGTTACCACGCTACCCCGTGCCCTAGCCTAGCTGCGCCCTCGTGCGCCCTCGTTAGCGCCCTCGCGCGCCCTCGTTAGCGCCCTCGCGCGCCCTCGCTGCGCCCTCGCGCGCCCCAGTTAGCGCCCTCGTGCGCCCCTCGTTAGCGCCCTCGTGCGCCCGCGCTGCCCGCCCGCCGCGCTGCCCGCCGCGCTGCCCGCCGCGCTGCCCGCCCGTCGCACTGCCCGCCGCGCTGCCCGCCGTCGCGCTGCCTGCCGCGCAGCCCGTCCCGAGCACGCTCGACGCGCGCGCGGCCCGCAGCTGCCCCGCGCAGCCCGTCCCGAGCCCGCGCGACGCGCGCGCGGCCCGCCGCTGCCCCGCCCAGCTCGCCCCAAGCCCGCGCGGCGCGTCCGCGGCCCGCAGCGCGCTGCGCGCCGTCCGCGCGGCCCGCGCCGCGCCCTACCCGCCAGTGCACGGCCCCCGGCAGCGGCTCGCGCCACCCTGCCGCTGCCACGACCCGGCCCTGCCCTGCCGCTGACTCGATCCGGCCCTTCACTGTAGCCGCTGCCACGGCCCTGCTGTCGCCGCCGTCGTACGCTGACCCTGCCGCCGTCCGCCGAGCACCGGCCCTGCTCGCCCGGTGAGAGCCTGCTCTTCCTGCTACTGGTGAGCCCCTGCCTTGCTAGCGCGCTGCCGCGCCGCCGGCCTGCCTGCCTGCCTGACCTGCTGCTACTGGCCGACGCCAGATGCAGCCCCAGCGACGTCCGCGTGAGTCCCTCACGCCCCAGCAGCTGCGTGGGTGGTCCGCTAGTTGGGGTTGTAGGGGTGGCCGCGCTGCTACTGCTGCCACTACTGCTGCTGCTGCTACTGGCGGTGGCCAGATGCAGCTACACTGTCGTCCACGTGAGTCTCGTACGCCCCAGCAGCTTCGTGAGTGGTACGCTCAGAGTAGAGGGTCTCTCAGTTCTGTTCGCTGCTCTTACGTCATTCGCACTGGTGCTCGGACTGGTCAGCCTTGCGGGACACCTAGTCACACGCAGTCCCGCTGCTTCGCCCGTCTGAGCGACGCCTGGCGCACCGAGTTTGGCGACGGAGCTGAGCTCCCCGACTGGGTGGAGCTACTTAGGCAGAGAGTAGATATATTTGCTCTTGACTATGATGCTATTCTCACTGCCATGTATGCATTGCCTACTAGTGCTGACCGTGCCTGTTACCTGTGTGCGCCGCCTGACCCAGGTATCGCGCCTGCTGCTCTAGGTACTGGTGAGGCTGCTGCTCTAGGTGCTACTGCGTCTCCTGCTCTAGGTGCTGGTGAGGCTGCTGCTCTAGGTGCTACTGCGTCTCCAGCTCTAGGTGCTGGTGAGGCTGCTGCTCCAGGTCCTGGTGAGTCTGCCCTCTCTGGTTCTTCGCCTGCTGCGACCCTGCACACCTTCACCCTTGACTCAGGAGCTTCCCGCTCCTTCTTTCGCGACTGCACCACACTTACGCCGCTTCGTCGGCCGGTTGCAGTCTCCCTGGCCGACCCCTCTAGGGGTCCAGTCCTTGCCCACTACTCCACGGTTCTGCCGTGTCCGGCCGCCCCGTCTGGCTTGCTGTCAGGTCTCTACCTCCCCTCGTTCTCTACGAACCTGGTGAGTGGAGCTGACCTCCAGGATGGGGGGGTTGACCAGTTCACTCCTGCGCGTCAGCGGGTGACTCACTGTACGTGTGCTCGGACGGGCCGACACCTGGCCACTTTCACCCGTGCGCCTGGCTCGAGCCTGTACACCCTGACCACTGAGTCCCCTCAGGTAGCTGCGTCTGCGTCTGCGTCAGGTCAGCTGTCGGCCCCCTGCTTGTGTCGCGCCTTGTCGCACGAGACCCTTCTTTGGCACCACCGCCTTGGTCACCCCTCGGTGCAGCGCCTTCGCAGCATGCACCGTCGTGTCCTTGTCTCTGGTCTTCCCAGAGTTCTCCCTCCCCTCCCACCCTCGCCTGCTCCTCCCTGTCTTCCCTGTGTCGAGGGGCGGCAGCGCGCCGCTCCTCACTCCTCCTCGTTCCCTCCCACAGAGGCTCCCTTGCAGACTCTCCACCTGGACGTGTGGGGCCCAGCCCGCGTCCGTGGACAGGACCACGAGCGGTACTTCCTGCTGGTCGTCGACGACTACACGCGTTACACCACGGTCTTCCCCTTGCGCACCAAGGGTGAGGTCCCTACTATTTTGATCCCCTGGATCCGCGCTGCTCGTCTCCAGCTCCGCCGGCGGTTCGGGACAGAGTTTCCCGTCCTGCGTCTGCACTCTGACAGAGGTGGTGAGTTTTCCTCCGACCTCTTGGCAGCCTACTGTGCGGAGCGCGGCATCACCCAGTCGTTCACGCTTCCGGCCTCTCCACAGCAGAATGGGATTGCTGAGCGCTGCATTGGCTTGGTCATGGAGGTCGCTCGTACCTCCATGGTCCATGCGGCTGCCCCCCATTTTCTGTGGCCGTTTGCGGTCCGGTACGCCGCGCATCAGCTCAACCTCTGGCCCCGTGTCTCCTTGCCGGAGACCTCGCCCACACTGCTGTGGACGGGGGAGGTTGGCGATGCGTCGCGTTTCCGGGTCTGGGGTTCTCGTGCCTTTGTCCGCGATACCACCGCGGACAAGCTCTCCGCCCGCGCTGTCCCCTGTGTCTTCCTTGGCTTTGTCCCTGACGCGCCTGGCTGGCAGTTTTACCACCCCACCTCGCGCCGGGTCTTCGCCTCTCAGGACGTCACCTTTGACGAGTCGGTCCCTTTCTACCGTCTCTTCCCCTACCGCACTGCCCCTCTCCCTCCCCCGCCGCTTTTCCTCGCTCCTGGTCCCCCTCCGGTAGACCCCCTTCCCCCTCAGGGTCCTGCTCCTTCAGGTGTCTCTCAGGTAGACCCTCCTCCCGTCGCTGAGCCTGTCGAGGTCACAGGTGACTCAGGTGCTGCTGCGGGTGGTGCTGCTGGGAGTGCTGAGCCTGGGGGTGCTGAGCCTGGGGGTGCTGGGCCTGGGGGTGCTGGGGCTGCGGGTGCTGGGACTGAGGGTGCTGGAGCTGAGGGTACGGTGCCTGAGAGTACGGAGCCTAGGGGTGCTGAGCCTGGGGGTGCTGCGACTGGGGGTGCTGAGCGTGCGTGTACGGAGCCTGGGTGTACTGAGCCTGGGGGTGCCGAGTCTGGGGTTACTGAGCCTGGGGGTGCTGCGCCTGAGGGTACTGAGCCTGGGGGTGCTGCGACTGAGCCTGCGGAGCCTGGGGTTGCTGCGTCTAGGGGTGCTCCGGTTCGGGGTGCTGAGCCGTCTCTCACACAGCAGCAGCTTCGTGACTGGTACGTCCGGCGCTTTCGCCGTCCTCGTGGCCCTGCTGGAGTTGGAGGTTCTGGAGCTGCTCGTCCTGGAGGTGCTCGTACTGGAGGTACTGGAGCTGCCGGGGCTGGTTGTTCTGGGAGCACTGAGACTGGAGCTGCTGGAGCTGGCGGTGCTAGCGGGGTTGGAGCTGCCGGGCCTGGGTGCGCTGAGCCTTCGGGTGCTGAGTCTGGGGGTCCTGAGCCTGGGGGTGCTGCGACTGAGCCTACGGAGCCTGGGGTTGCTACGTCTGGGGGTGCTCCGGTTCGGGGTGCTGAGCCGTCTCTCCGGGAGCCTCTCACACAGCAGCAGCTTCGTGACTGGTACGTCCAGCGCTTTCGCCTTCCTCGTGGTCCCGCTGGAGTTGGAGGTTCTGGAGCTGCTCGTCCTGGAGGTGCTCGTCCTGGGGGTACTGGAGCTGCCGGGGCTGGGAGCACTGAGGCTGGAGCTGCTGGAGCTGGGGCCTCTGGAGCTGACGGTCCTAGCGGAGTTGGAGCTGCCGGCTCTGGGGGTGCTCTTCCTGTAGGTGCTGGAGCTGCTGGAGCTGACGGTCCTGGAGGTGTTGGTCCTGCTGGTTCTGGAGGTGCTGGCGAGGGGAGGTCTGCCGCTGCTGGGGCCTCTGGTGCTGACGTCGCCGGCTCTGGGGGTGCTGCGGCGGGGGGTGCTGGTACTGGTGCTTCTGGTGCTGCGGGTGCTGGAGGTGCTGGCGGAGCTCCGCCGTCGCGACTGTTCTTCGCTCCACCGTCGCCGTCGGCTTTGCCACCGCCTGACACGGTGCTTCGCCAGGTTCTTTCCCTCCCTTCTTCCACTGGCCTTCCCCTCCAGCCTGGCTCCCCCCTCCCTGCTCCTGTGCCTTACACTGCACAGCCGGACTCGCTTACGGAGCGTCGTGAGCCTGTGTCTCGTCCTGCCTCGCCTGTTCGCGCTGCTCGCACTGCTCGTACTGCGCGCACTGGTCCCACTGGTCGTCGTGTCGCGCGTCCGCGTCCTCCTCCTGTTCCTGGCACGCACATTATGGCCCTTCGTCCTTCCACTGGTCCACAGCGTGTCCCCCTACCGTCTCCTCCTGCGTCTTCTCTTCCTGACGTTCCCGACCCTGAGTCTGACAGTGTTCGTGCTGCCCACCCTACTGTTACCCGTCTTCTCGCCACTGTTGTCACTGACCCGTCTTTTGAGTCTGCTGCTGCGTCTGCCCTGGTCGCTGAGCTTGTCGACTTTGCTGCTGCCTGTCGTCTAGACTACGCCGCCAGTCTTGTTGCTGAGTCTGAGTCTGTCTGTCCTCCGTCCGTCGGGGGTGAGTGTGCTCTTGGCACGGACGTCCTTGAGGACAGGCAGGAGGACCTTGACTCTCTTGCGGCTGCTGTACCTCATCTCGTGGCCTGGCTGCTTGCCCCTGAGGGAGACCCGGATGCACTAGACATCCCCACTCCGCGCTCTTACGCAGAGGCGATCTCGGGCCCCTACTCCTCTCAGTGGCAGGCAGCCATGGACGCAGAGATGGCATCCTGGAAGTCCACAGGCACCTACGTTGACGAGGTTCCCCCTCCTGGGGCGAACATCGTCGATGGCATGTGGATTTTCAGGGTGAAGCGGCCGCCAGGTTCTCCACCTGTCTTCAAGGCTCGTTACGTTGCTAGAGGCTTCAGTCAGCGTCAGGGGGTTGACTTCTTCCAGACCTTCTCCCCCACCCCGAAGATGACCACTCTTCGGGTTCTGCTGCACGTTGCCGCTCAGCGTGACTACGAGCTTCACTCTCTTGACTTCAGCACAGCGTTCTTGCAGGGCAGCCTGCACGAGGAGATCTGGCTGCGCCGCCCACCTGGCTTTACTGGGTCGTTTCCTCCTGGTACCCAGTGGAGCCTCCGGCGGCCAGTCTACGGTCTCCGCCAGGCGCCACGCGAGTGGCACGACACACTGAGGACTACACTTGCGGCCCTTGGGTTTGCTCCTTCCACTGCTGACCCGTCACTGTTCCTGCGCACAGACACGTCGCTGCCGCCGTTCTACATCCTCGTGTACGTCGACGACTTGGTCTTTGCTACTGCTGACACTGAGGCACTCACTCGTGTGAAGTCGGAGCTGCAGAAGAGACACACGTGCACTGACCTGGGTGAGCTGCGTAGCTACCTTGGCTTGCAGATCACCCGGGACAGAGCACGCCGCACCATTACCCTGACTCAGTCACACATGGTGCAGCAGGTCCTTCAGCGCTTCGGCTTCCAGTTCTCCTCACCACAGGCCACACCTCTGGCTACCAGCCACTCGCTCTCAGCTCCACCTTCGGACGAGTCCGTAGAGCCGAGTGGCCCGTACCCAGAGCTTGTAGGCTGCCTCATGTACCTGATGACTTGCACGCGACCTGACCTCGCGTACCCTCTTAGCATCCTTGCTCGTTACGTTGCGCCTGGGAGACACAGGCGAGAGCACTGGGAGGCTGCTAAGAGGGTGCTGCGTTACTTGTGCAGTACATCAGGCATGGGGCTGGTGCTTGGAGGACGCGACAGAGTTGTCCTCACTGGTCACTCGGACGCTTCTTGGGTGGACGACCTGGCTACGCAGCGGTCGTCACAAGGTTACACCTTCAGCCTTGGCTCTGGTTCTGTCTCGTGGCGGTCCACCCGCTCTTCTTCTGTTCTCAGCTCTAGTTGTGAGGCTGAGATCTACGCCACGGCCATGGCTGCACAGGAGTTACGCTGGCTCACCTACTTGCTGACTGACTTGGGAGAGCGGCCTAGTTCTCCTCCAGTTCTGTACGGCGACAACAAGGCGGCCCTTGCCTTGTGTTAGGAGCACAGACTGGAGCACAGGACAAAGCACATTGCTCTTCGCTACTTTCTTGCTCGAGAGTTGCAGCAGCGCGGTCAGCTTCGGCTTGTGTACGTGGACTCGAAGGCCAACACTGCTGATATCTTCACCAAGGCGCTCCCGCCTAGTGATCATCAGCGGCACTGTACTTCTTTAGGCCTTGTGTCCACATTCCCTCATTTGCTTACTGCTTGACTTTCTTTGTACTGTACTTTATATATATCTTGTTGCTTGCTTGCTAGGTTTTGATCACTGTGTTGCTTGTCTTGTACTATATCTAGCACTGCATGTGAACTGGCCTTGTGGCCTTTGCTTGTGCTCGGAGTGTGGTGACGTTGTGATCCACCCTAGGCTTGCGTTGCTTTGCTGGACTGGTCTTGTGACCCTTTGTTCTCCCCCACTTTGCCTATGGGGGTGTGTTAAATTGTAATGTCTTACATGTTGGTAGGCTGTAGTGGGGTAGCCAATATGGGGTACAACCCCAACTAGGGTTTGCTACTTGTACCCAACTGTTTCATTCAATGCACCATTCTTGCCTAGTCCTGTTGACAAATGGACCAATGAAACGTGGACGAAGCTTGCTGTCCTGTGGCAGTCGGAGGTTGCGGCTATCGAGAAGGACACGGTCACCGACTGCGAACGACACCTCACGACAGCTATGGTTGGTGGTGCGTGCCATGCGTGCATTTGCGAGGTCAGGGTGCTTCCTCACGTGATCATGAATGAAAGTGAGATGCTGGTGGAAGTTGTCCGCACGAGGGACAGTGGGTGTGAGATCGACACGAGTGGGGACATTGGGGTGCTGACCGTACAGTGCAAAGAACGGTGACATGCCTGTGGCGGAATGATGCGTGTTGTTGTAGGCGAACTCAGCCATGCTCAGCTTCTTGTCCCATGCTGCTGCGTCGTGCATCGTGATGCTACGAAGAATTTGCTCCAAGGTCTGGCTCATGCGCTCAGTCTGTCCGTCTGTCTCTGGATGGTACGCAGACGACATGGCTAAGCGAGTCCCAAACAGTGCGAAAAGAACTTCGAGGTGAATCTAGGGTCGCGGTCGGAAATGATGGAATCTGGAACCCCGTGCAGTCGGACTACGTTATCTACGAACAGTGTTGCCGCTTCCTCTGCTGTGACCTGGCCGTGCGTGGGGATGAAATGCGCTGCTCGAGAAAACTTGTCGACTACAACGAAGATGGCGTCGTGACCCCTAATTGTGCCCGGTAATGCCATGATGAAGTCCATCGTAACTACCTGCCAAGGGCGGTCGGGCGGTGGAATCAGCTGCAAAAGACCTGTCTTGCCCTGTCGCGAGGACTTCGTACGCTGACACGTGTCGCACGAGCGAATGTAATCCTCTACGTCTGCTGCAAGCCCTGGCCAGTAGTACGTGCGACTAAGCGTCTTAGCCGTCTTATCTGCTCCAAAGTGACCTGCACTAACTGCGTCATGCGCCTCTGAGAGAAGGAGCTGTCGAAGAGGGCGGTAGGCTGGAACCCAAATCCGTGCTGTACCCTTCCGTATGTAGACACTACCCTGCACCTCTGCTGCTGCGGGCGGCTGCGGTGTAAAGTCGGGATCTACTGTGTAACCATGCTCAAAGAGTGCTGTGAGGAGTGGACGGCCGGCAGTGACTGTGAGACTAGCGAGCTGACAACTAGGGCGAGTGAGCGGATCTGCTGGGCTGCGCACGCCGGGCTTATACTCGATCCTGTAGTGGAAACTCCCCTCCATGAACTCCATCCATCTAGCCTGGCGATGGCTCAGCTGCGGCTGCGACTTAAGGAAACGAAGCGAGCAGTGGTCCGTGCGTATAACACTGTCTGCCCCCTCTAGGTAGCACCTCCACACCTTATACGCATGGATGATCGCGAGCGCCTCCTTGTCGTGAATAGGATAATTCAACTCCGCTCCCCTCAGCTTACGCGACTCGTACGCGATCGGCTGCAACCCGCGTCCCTGGTCCTGAAGAAGCACTGCTCCAATGGCCTGATCTGATGCGTCGATCACTACAACGTACGGGCGAGTAGGATCGGGATACGACAGTGTCGGTGAACATGTGAGCGACTGCTTCATCTGCTCGAACGCCTGCTGCTGCGCTGGACCCCAAACGTACTCTACGCCTTTCCGAAGTAGGTCGGTGAGTGGACTAGCGATGGAAGCGTAACCCTGAACGAAACGTCGGTAGTAATTCACGAATCCGAGGAAGTTCTTCAACTCCTTGACTGAGGTCGGTGCTACCCAATCCTGTACTGCTGCGATCTTCTTTGGGTCGATCCGAACGCCACTAGCGGAAACGACGTGACCTAGAAACTCGACCTCTGGAAGGAAGAACTCGCACTTCGATTGCTTCGCGTACAGCTTCTCTCTCCGCAAGACCGCAAAGGCCGCAAGTGCTGCACGTGCTCCTCTTTCGACTTGGAGAAGATCAAGATGTCGTCTAGGTAAACGACAACGAACGAACCTAGGAACTCGGAGAGGACGGTGTTCATAAGCGTCTGGAACGTCGCTGGGGCGTTGGTCAGTCCGAACGGTAGAACCCTAAATTCGTACAACCCCTGTTTCGTGTGAAACGCCGTCTTGTGCTGGTCCTCTGGAACTACGCGAATCTGGTGGTAACCCGAACGAAGGTCGATCTTGGAGAAGACTCTAGCGCCCTGCACTGCATCTAGAAGATCCTCTACTCTCGGCACCGGGAATCGATTCTTGACGGTGGCGGCGTTCAGTGCGCGGTAATCTATGCGCATCCCTAACCCTCTGTCTTTCTAGGGTGCGAAGAGGATCGGTGCTGCCCAAGGCGATCTAGATGGCTGTATGAACCCTTGCGCTAGGAAATGCCTAACCTGCTGCGTCATCTCCTCTGTCTCTGCTGGACTCAACCTCCACTGCGGCTTCGCTACTGGCTTGCTCCCCGGCTCCAACTCTATTCGATGGTCGACTGCTCGGCTAGGAGGTAATCGTGGGGGCAACTCGTCAGGGAAGACGTCTGCGAACTCTGCTAACAGTGCACTCACTTCAGCAGGAAGAGTCGCCTTCTCACTAACTGTTGTGCTCCCTCCTTTCCCCTCCTCAGCTTCAACCTCCTCAAGGAAAACCGCGAAGATCCGTGCCGCACGCTTCACTAACTGTCGCACACGAACAGCATTAATGATAGCTGTGGATGATGTGGCCCCATCGCTAAACTATGGCAACTCCCGGAACTCCCCATTTACCTTGACGCTGCAGCTTCCCTGAGCCCAATCGAACTGAGTCGAAACCGTCCGCAACCAATCTCTACCGAAGATGAAATCGTATCCGTCCAGCGTCGCAGAGTCGAAATCGCGTCTAATAGTGGTCGGTCCTAGCACTACTCGCAACTTGCGAATGATCAGTCCTATGTGGAGCAGCGTCCCATCTACCATGCGAGCGTCCTTGAAGTTGACTGAGGAATCTGCTTCAAGATGGAGACGGCTAACTAATGAAGACGAAACGAACGAGTGGCTAGCTCCGCTATCTACAAGAATCTTGACTGGAACTCCGCGAAGCTTCCCTAGAAGCACGACTGGACGATCAACAGTGTCTACCGAGTTCTGCGTAGATCACTGCTCTAGAGCTGTCTCCTCTACGTTGGTAAACTTGGCGGGTACGGAAGCCTCCACACCAGCTAGCGACCCGCTATCTACTGGCTGTTTCCTTTTCCCTGCTGCCGCTCCTTGAACTGTAGGCAGTCCCGCTTCATGTGACCCGGCTTTTTGCAGTAGTGACAGTTCCCCCTAAAACCCGTTCGCTGTGAGCCGTCACTGTTAACTGCACCAATCTCCATGGGCGATGGTCCGTCCCTCGATCGAGCGTCGTTGATCGGTCTGTTGTATCCCCTATCGCGATCGTCACGACCCCGTCAACTTCTCTGCGTCGACGCGTTCTGCTGATGCGACAACTGACGCGAAGGTGGACGACCCGTGAATCGTTATAATCTCCGCTATGTCCGGCTTCAACCCTTCAAGATAGCGATCGTGCATCTCTACTTCAGTGATGTCGTCTATCTCGTTGCAGATGCTCAAGAACCGTCGTGTGTACTCCTGGACGTTTCCTATCTGACGTTTCCTAGCAGCTTCGGAGGCGTTCACCAAGTCGAACCTACTTTTCAGCGCCGCTTCAAATCCGTCACATGTCGTCGGAACCGTGGTAACACCCAAAGCTAAACTCCCTAAGCTCGAAGTTGCAGCTGCATGCCCCACGCCCTGTTGATGCCCGTCTAACTGAGCCCTTCGTACAACAGTCTGCGTAAGTTGGCGCCACCACTCCAAGGCCGGGCCCCTCAGCATCGTTACGACATACTCGATCCGCTGCTGCGCGTCCGCCTCTTGCACCCCGCTCGCGGCGAAGTAATTGTTGAGCATGAAGAGCCACGTCCGCACGTTCGCGTCGCGCTGACTTGGGTCGAACGGCTCTGGTTTCTGCGGCTTGAGCGCGCTTCGACGTTCCGGCAGCGCTTCCGCGCCAGTCGACGTGGTGGGTGCAGGAGTTGGTGCGGCAAGGCCATGGGGGCTAGAAGCCAAATTACGAAGTTGTTGCATTTCGGCCCATACCTGACGATTTTCCAACGTCAGTTGCTCGAGTTGGCGCATGACCTCGGCAAGCGCGTTGCCCATGTCTTGGGGGAGAGCGTTCATGGTCTCGTCCATGTTGGTTCGATGACTCCAAGTCTGCAAGTCGGCACCGCGGGACGATGACGGCGTAGTCTCGTCGTCGACGGTCGCTCGTTGGAAGTCGCTCCCCGCGAAGGCTCTGATACCAAGTGTTAGGCCCGCTGGCCTAAGTCCGCTAAAGAATTAGCGGGGTCGACTAAGTCGAAGATGAAACGCGGCGGAAGACTTTGGCGAAAGAACTATTGGCGAAATAGGCGAAGGAGTTACTGAGTAATTGAAGAGTTGAATGAGAATTGGTTGATAAATGGTTGATATTGGCAAGTACAAGAGAGGTTTATATAGCGAACAAGAGACAACGTTGGAAAGTAGCTTGTGGGACTGGGAATTGGAAAGCTAGAAGAGTGGAGTGCCACGTGGCACAAGGAAATCCCAAAGGGAGTGGATGGAGATAAGATTGGGATTGGGTTGGGGGACTGTTTAGGGAACATTCAGGCCTAGACATGTCACAAAACTTCGCGTCACAATCGATTCTACCGCACTGCATCGTATTACACCAAATTACACCCTAGTATCGAAAATTGTCGAAATTTTCGCGTCTTTGGTATAGTGCGGTACGGATCGGTACATTCGATTGGGACACGTACTTTTGGGACATGTCACGTCCCGAATGTTCCCTTAGGGTAAACCATCCGTGAACAGTAAACTACCCCGTAACATTTGTGAAGGTCTTATGAAAATTAGCATAGTGCGTTGATTGGTGCAACTTAGTGTAGTATCAGGCTGACATGTCCGAGTGAAATTAAAACGAAAGATTTTTCAAACCATACTTGGTATAGGCTTTGCAATGTTTGTTATAACGCCATCAACCATGTATTCATCAAATCACGCTAATTTCATGTTGCCTAATATACATATAATTAAGAGTCTCCAATAAAGTTTTTTTTCCCCTGATTTCTTTGTTTCTTTTTTTTACCTAAGCGTTTGATTCGGTAGTTTCTGAAACTGCAGTAATATGCCTTTCCTACCTTATCCACGATTCCGTTAGTGTCACACGCCTGTCAGCCTCATCCATTCGAACCATTTTCCGAAAATCCTCCATCTCACAGTCGCATTTCATCAGCACCCGTTACGGCGGGAGTCGCTACTCCTTATCGCCGCATCAGGCGGTAACGAACCGTTTTTTAGCACCTTCTCGTGCGTAACGGTTCTTCGCGGCTCGGGCTGAGCGCGACAGCCTCGCAGAATAGCTTATACTGCGGATAGCAGATCCTGAGTTTCGCGGTTTGAGGTCTCTCTCCTCGGTGTCGCGTCGCGAAAGTGGATCGCAATGGCGGCTTCGCGATCATTGTCATCGTCGCACACTGTCGTCCAGTCGCCAGTGATCGCAGCACCGGTGCCAACTCGTCGTTTTCCGACACCGTTCAATATGAAACCGAACGGTTCTTGTGGCGCTTGTAGGCACCTGCTTGTATCGAGTTCAATTTCTCAATCGCCGCCACTCGCGGTTGTAGCGCGTACGTCCTCTTGCAATGTCGGATCGAGCAGTTCAACCTTCGTTACAAGAACTCCGCTTACAATCACTCGACCAGCCCTGCATGGGCGTCAACCCCAAAAACTCTCTCGTTCCAGACTCACCGCCCGTGCCGAGGCAGGCTCGTCATTAGGCTCGGACTCTGGTTCAGCAGCTTCAGGTTCGGCAGCAGCAGCCGAGCCAGCTCTAGGTTCGGGAGTTGCCGAGGCGAAGGGACGGGCGGGGGTGGAAGACGACAAGCAGCTCGCGCTCTTCGAGGTCAGCGAAGCACTTTCGAGGATTTTGCATAGGCGAATGTCGCGTAGACGAATTTCGCATAGGCGAAGTTCGCCCAGGCAGTGCGAAGGGCCAAAGACGAGGCAGCAGGTGACGGAAGCGGCTAGACATCAATGTCGCGGGTTTAGAGAGGGTTTAATGCAAGATGGGGAACGGGCAGCAGCAGGTGAGTTGGTGGTGTTGCAGATTCTCAAATTACTCTTACCTCTGAGGAAGAGCTTAGTGCCTGCATTGTTCCGCAACCTCTCAAACGCACCCAACCCCCCCTCCCCTCCATCCACCCTCTCCCCCGCTTCCCCGCCCACCCGCACACTTTCCCCCCTGAACCTCCCCCTCCCCACCTCTCGCCTCTTCTTTCCCCCACCGTTCTCCCCCTTCACCCCCCCTGCTGCCATCCTCCTTTTCTCCCTCCTCTTTCCCTTCAGGCCTTAAGGAAACGCCAGGTGGAGAGTTTTAATCAGCAGGAGGAAGTTGCGAGGCAGCTTCGCATTCAGGCGGAGCGGGACGAGGTGGCGAGGCTCGGGTGGAAGCGAGCGGCAAAGAAGCTTCTGGGAAGGCTCCGCGGCAGCCAGTGGGACCCCCTGCCTGGTGCTGACGTGGACTTTGCGGATTTCTGGGCCCTGCTGCAGATGGGAAGGGTGAAATTTGTGAATTATGGGGATAATGGAAGATTCGTGGAAGGTGAGAAGGAGGAGGCACAGCACATGATAAGTGGCCTTGTCACTTGTTCTGGGATTTCTGGGCGCTGCTGTTAGTTTTGAGTCGACTCAAAACTAGGATTTCTGGGCGCTGCTGCTGATGGGGAGGGTGAAATTTGTGAACTATGGCGATAACGGGCGTTTTGTGGAAGGTGAGTGAGAAGGAGGCACAGCGCGTAGCGGGTGGCCTCAAAGTTTGCGGATTTCTGGGCGCTGCTGCAAATGGGGACGGTGAAGTTTGTAAATTATGGCGAGAATGGCCGGTTTGTGGAAGGTAAGAGAGAAGGAGGAAGCACAGCAGCACACATAGGGAGAAGTTTGGAAAGGACTCAAGCTTTGCGGATTTCTGGACGCTGCTGCAAATGGGGAGGGTCAAGTTTGTCAACTATGGGGATAACGGCTGATTTGTGGAAGGTGAGTTGGGTAGGAGTAGAGAATGGTAGGACTGGAAAGTCAGATGGTTTCTGGGCGCTGCTGCAGATGGGAAGAAGAGTGAAGACAGTCAATTTCGGGGATAACAGCTGGTTTGTGGAAGGTGAGGCTGGTTTGTGGAAGGTGAGGCTGGTTTGTGGAAGGTGAGGCTGGTTTGTGGAAGGTGAGGCTGGTTTGTGGAAGGTGAGGCTGGTTTGTGGAAGGTGAGGCTGGTTTGTGGAAGGTGAGGCTGGTTTGTGGAAGGTGAGGCTGGTTTGTGGAAGGTGAGGCTGGTTTGTGGAAGGTGAGGCTGGTTTGTGGAAGGTGAGGCTGGTTTGTGGAAGGTGAGGCTGGTTTGTGGAAGGTGAGGCTGGTTTGTGGAAGGTGAGGCTGGTTTGTGGAAGGTGAGGCTGGTTTGTGGAAGGTGAGGCTGGTTTGTGGAAGGTGAGGCTGGTTTGTGGAAGGTGAGGCTGGTTTGTGGAAGGTGAGGCTGGTTTGTGGAAGGTGAGGCTGGTTTGTGGAAGGTGAGGCTGGTTTGTGGAAGGTGAGGCTGGTTTGTGGAAGGTGAGGCTGGTTTGTGGAAGGTGAGGCTGGTTTGTGGAAGGTGAGGCTGGTTTGTGGAAGGTGAGGCTGGTTTGTGGAAGGTGAGGCTGGTTTGTGGAAGGTGAGGCTGGTTTGTGGAAGGTGAGGCTGGTTTGTGGAAGGTGAGGCTGGTTTGTGGAAGGTGAGGCTGGTTTGTGGAAGGTGAGGCTGGTTTGTGGAAGGTGAGGCTGGTTTGTGGAAGGTGAGGCTGGTTTGTGGAAGGTGAGGCTGGTTTGTGGAAGGTGAGGCTGGTTTGTGGAAGGTGAGGCCGGTTTGTGGAAGGTGAGGCTGGTTTGTGGAAGGTGAGGCTGGTTTGTGGAAGGTGAGGCTGGTTTGTGGAAGGTGAGGCCGGTTTGTGGAAGGTGAGGCTGGTTTGTGGAAGGTGAGGCCGGTTTGTGGAAGGTGAGGCCGGTTTGTGGAAGGTGAGGCTGGTTTGTGGAAGGTGAGGCTGGTTTGTGGAAGGTGAGGCTGGTTTGTGGAAGGTGAGGCTGGTTTGTGGAAGGTGAGGCTGGTTTGTGGAAGGTGAGGCTGGTTTGTGGAAGGTGAGGCTGGTTTGTGGAAGGTGAGGCTGGTTTGTGGAAGGTGAGGCTGGTTTGTGGAAGGTGAGGCTGGTTTGTGGAAGGTGAGGCTGGTTTGTGGAAGGTGAGGCTGGTTTGTGGAAGGTGAGGCTGGTTTGTGGAAGGTGAGGCTGGTTTGTGGAAGGTGAGGCTGGTTTGTGGAAGGTGAGGCTGGTTTGTGGAAGGTGAGGCTGGTTTGTGGAAGGTGAGGCTGGTTTGTGGAAGGTGAGGCTGGTTTGTGGAAGGTGAGGCTGGTTTGCGGAAGGTGAGGCTGGTTTGCGGAAAGTGAGGCTGGTTTGCGGAAGGTGAGGCTGGTTTGCGGAAGGTGAGGCTGGTTTGCGGAAGGTGAGGCTGGTTTGTGGAAGGTGAGGCTGGTTTGTGGAAGGTGAGGCTGGTTTGTGGAAGGTGAGGCTGGTTTGTGGAAGGTGAGGCTGGTTTGTGGAAGGTGAGGCTGGTTTGTGGAAGGTGAGGCTGGTTTGTGGAAGGTGAGGCTGGTTTGTGGAAGGTGAGGCTGGTTTGTGGAAGGTGAGGCTGGTTTGTGGAAGGTGAGGCTGGTTTGTGGAAGGTGAGGCTGGTTTGTGGAAGGTGAGGCTGGTTTGTGGAAGGTGAGGCTGGTTTGTGGAAGGTGAGGCTGGTTTGTGGAAGGTGAGGCTGGTTTGTGGAAGGTGAGGCTGGTTTGCGGAAGGTGAGGCTGGTTTGCGGAAGGTGAGGCTGGTTTGCGGAAGGTGAGGCTGGTTTGCGGAAGGTGAGGCTGGTTTGCGGAAGGTGAGGCTGGTTTGTGGAAGGTGAGGCTGGTTTGTGGAAGGTGAGGCTGGTTTGTGGAAGGTGAGGCTGGTTTGTGGAAGGTGAGGCTGGTTTGTGGAAGGTGAGGCTGGTTTGTGGAAGGTGAGGCTGGTTTGTGGAAGGTGAGGCTGGTTTGTGGAAGGTGAGGCTGGTTTGTGGAAGGTGAGGCTGGTTTGTGGAAGGTGAGGCTGGTTTGTGGAAGGTGAGGCTGGTTTGTGGAAGGTGAGGCTGGTTTGTGGAAGGTGAGGCTGGTTTGTGGAAGGTGAGGCTGGTTTGTGGAAGGTGAGGCTGGTTTGTGGAAGGTGAGGCTGGTTTGTGGAAGGTGAGGCTGGTTTGTGGAAGGTGAGGCTGGTTTGTGGAAGGTGAGGCTGGTTTGTGGAAGGTGAGGCTGGTTTGTGGAAGGTGAGGCTGGTTTGTGGAAGGTGAGGCTGGTTTGTGGAAGGTGAGGCTGGTTTGTGGAAGGTGAGGCTGGTTTGTGGAAGGTGAGGCTGGTTTGTGGAAGGTGAGGCTGGTTTGTGGAAGGTGAGGCTGGTTTGTGGAAGGTGAGGCTGGTTTGTGGAAGGTGAGGCTGGTTTGTGGAAGGTGAGGCTGGTTTGTGGAAGGTGAGGCTGGTTTGTGGAAGGTGAGGCTGGTTTGCGGAAGGTGAGGCTGGTTTGTGGAAGGTGAGGCTGGTTTGTGGAAGGTGAGGCTGGTTTGTGGAAGGTGAGGCTGGTTTGTGGAAGGTGAGGCTGGTTTGTGGAAGGTGAGGCTGGTTTGTGGAAGGTGAGGCTGGTTTGTGGAAGGTGAGGCTGGTTTGTGGAAGGTGAGGCTGGTTTGTGGAAGGTGAGGCTGGTTTGTGGAAGGTGAGGCCGGTTTGCATGCATTTGCTTTTGAGTGGACGTGGACTCAATCAAAAGCAGAATTACGGCGATAATGGCCGGTTTGTGGAAGGTGAGGCTGGTTTGCATGCATAATGGGAGGGAGGGTTAGAAGCTAGCTCGTTTCTGGGCGCAACTGGGGAGGGTTTGCTGGTTTGCTGCAAATGGGGAGGGCGAAGTTTGTCTACTACAGCGATAACGGCCGGTTTGCGGAAGGTAAGTGAGAAGGAGGGCTTTGGGCGAAGGAGGAGGAAGTGGGGAGGAAGGGGAAGGAGACAGAGCGACAAGCAGCGCCAAAGGCAGCAGAATGAATGACGGCTGTCCGTTTTTCCTCCATTTCCCCTTTTTCCACCATTTCCCCACTTTCCAACCCCCGCCAGTGATTCTCCCCCATCCCGCCAAGGACCTTGGGCTGGAGGTGAAGCGGGGAGAGGGGGCGAGGAGGAAGGGGAAGGAGACAGAGCGACCAGCAGCGCCAAAGGCAGCAGAAGGGGCAGCAGCAGGAGTGGGAGCAGAAGGGGAGGAGGCGGGTGAAGAGGCAGAGGCTGTGGGGCACATGGGCCTTCCAGACCAGGTAACACTTTGACTTTTGAGTCGAGTCACAAGTCACCTCAGAGGCTGTGGGGCACATGGGCCTTCCAGACCAGGTAACACTTGGACTTTTGAGTCGAGTCACAAGTCACCTCAGAGGCTGTGGGTCACATGGGCCTTCCAGACCAGGTAACACTTGGACTTTTGAGTCGAGTCACAAGTCACCTCAGAGGCTGTGGGTCACATGGGCCTTCCAGACCAGGTAACACTTGGACTTTTGAGTCGAGTCACAAGTCACCTCAGAGGCTGTGGGGCACATGGGCCTTCCAGACCAGGTAACACTTGGACTTTTGAGTCGAGTCACAAGTCACCTCAGAGGCTGTGGGGCACATGGGCCTTCCAGACCAGGTAACACTTGGACTTTTGAGTCGAGTCACAAGTCACCTCAGAGGCTGTGGGTCACATGGGCCTTCCAGACCAGGTAACACTTTGACTTTTGAGTCGAGTCAGAAGTCACCTCAGAGGCTGTGGGTCACATGGGCCTTCCAGATCAGGTAACACTTTGACTTTTGAGTCGAGTCACAAGTCACCTCAGAGGCTGTGGGTCACATGGGCCTTCCAGACCAGGTAACACTTGGACTTTTGAGTCGAGTCACAAGTCACCTCAGAGGCTGTGGGTCACATGGGCCTTCCAGACCAGGTAACACTTGGACTTTTGAGTCGAGTCACAAGTCACCTCAGAGGCTGTGGGGCACATGGGCCTTCCAGACCAGGTAACACTTGGACTTTTGAGTCGAGTCACAAGTCACCTCAGAGGCTGTGGGTCACATGGGCCTTCCAGACCAGGTAACACTTGGACTTTTGAGTCGAGTCACAAGTCACCTCAGAGGCTGTGGGGCACATGGGCCTTCCAGACCAGGTAACACTTGGACTTTTGAGTCGAGTCACAAGTCACCTCAGAGGCTGTGGGGCACATGGGCCTTCCAGACCAGGTAACACTTGGACTTTTGAGTCGAGTCACAAGTCACCTCAGAGGCTGTGGGTCACATGGGCCTTCCAGACCAGGTAACACTTTGACTTTTGAGTCGAGTCAGAAGTCACCTCAGAGGCTGTGGGTCACATGGGCCTTCCAGATCAGGTAACACTTTGACTTTTGAGTCGAGTCACAAGTCACCTCAGAGGCTGTGGGTCACATGGGCCTTCCAGACCAGGTAACACTTGGACTTTTGAGTCGAGTCACAAGTCACCTCAGAGGCTGTGGGTCACATGGGCCTTCCAGACCAGGTAACACTTGGACTTTTGAGTCGAGTCACAAGTCACCTCAGAGGCTGTGGGGCACATGGGCCTTCCAGACCAGGTAACACTTGGACTTTTGAGTCGAGTCACAAGTCACCTCAGAGGCTGTGGGTCACATGGGCCTTCCAGACCAGGTAACACTTGGACTTTTGAGTCGAGTCACAAGTCACCTCAGAGGCTGTGGGGCACATGGGCCTTCCAGACCAGGTAACACTTGGACTTTTGAGTCGAGTCACAAGTCACCTCAGAGGCTGTGGGGCACATGGGCCTTCCAGACCAGGTAACACTTGGACTTTTGAGTCGAGTCACAAGTCACCTCAGAGGCTGTGGGTCACATGGGCCTTCCAGACCAGGTAACACTTTGACTTTTGAGTCGAGTCAGAAGTCACCTCAGAGGCTGTGGGTCACATGGGCCTTCCAGACCAGGTAACACTTGGACTTTTGAGTCGAGTCACAAGTCACCTCAGAGGCTGTGGGTCACATGGGCCTTCCAGACCAGGTAACACTTGGACTTTTGAGTCGAGTCACAAGTCACCTCAGAGGCTGTGGGGCACATGGGCCTTCCAGACCAGGTAACACTTGGACTTTTGAGTCGAGTCACAAGTCACCTCAGAGGCTGTGGGGCACATGGGCCTTCCAGACCAGGTAACACTTGGACTTTTGAGTCGAGTCACAAGTCACCTCAGAGGCTGTGGGTCACATGGGCCTTCCAGACCAGGTAACACTTTGACTTTTGAGTCGAGTCACAAGTCACCTCAGAGGCTGTGGGTCACATGGGCCTTCCAGACCAGGTAACACTTGGACTTTTGAGTCGAGTCACAAGTCACCTCAGAGGCTGTGGGGCACATGGGCCTTCCAGACCAGGTAACACTTGGACTTTTGAGTCGAGTCACAAGTCACCTCAGAGGCTGTGGGTCACATGGGCCTTCCAGACCAGGTAACACTTGGACTTTTGAGTCGAGTCACAAGTCACCTCAGAGGCTGTGGGGCACATGGGCCTTCCAGACCAGGTAACACTTGGACTTTTGAGTCGAGTCACAAGTCACCTCAGAGGCTGTGGGGCACATGGGCCTTCCAGACCAGGTAACACTTGGACTTTTGAGTCGAGTCACAAGTCACCTCAGAGGCTGTGGGTCACATGGGCCTTCCAGACCAGGTAACACTTTGACTTTTGAGTCGAGTCAGAAGTCACCTCAGAGGCTGTGGGTCACATGGGCCTTCCAGACCAGGTAACACTTGGACTTTTGAGTCGAGTCACAAGTCACCTCAGAGGCTGTGGGGCACATGGGCCTTCCAGACCAGGTAACACTTGGACTTTTGAGTCGAGTCACAAGTCACCTCAGAGGCTGTGGGTCACATGGGCCTTCCAGACCAGGTAACACTTTGACTTTTGAGTCGAGTCACAAGTCACCTCAGAGGCTGTGGGTCACATGGGCCTTCCAGACCAGGTAACACTTGGACTTTTGAGTCGAGTCACAAGTCACCTCAGAGGCTGTGGGGCACATGGGCCTTCCAGACCAGGTAACACTTGGACTTTTGAGTCGAGTCACAAGTCACCTCAGAGGCTGTGGGTCACATGGGCCTTCCAGACCAGGTAACACTTTGACTTTTGAGTCGAGTCACAAGTCACCTCAGAGGCTGTGGGTCACATGGGCCTTCCAGACCAGGTAACACTTGGACTTTTGAGTCGAGTCACAAGTCACCTCAGAGGCTGTGGGGCACATGGGCCTTCCAGACCAGGTAACACTTGGACTTTTGAGTCGAGTCACAAGTCACCTCAGAGGCTGTGGGGCACATGGGCCTTCCAGACCAGGTAACACTTGGACTTTTGAGTCGAGTCACAAGTCACCTCAGAGGCTGTGGGTCACATGGGCCTTCCAGACCAGGTAACACTTTGACTTTTGAGTCGAGTCAGAAGTCACCTCAGAGGCTGTGGGTCACATGGGCCTTCCAGACCAGGTAACACTTGGACTTTTGAGTCGAGTCACAAGTCACCTCAGAGGCTGTGGGTCACATGGGCCTTCCAGACCAGGTAACACTTTGACTTTTGAGTCGAGTCAGAAGTCACCTCAGAGGCTGTGGGTCACATGGGCCTTCCAGACCAGGTAACACTTGGACTTTTGAGTCGAGTCACAAGTCACCTCAGAGGCTGTGGGTCACATGGGCCTTCCAGACCAGGTAACACTTTGACTTTTGAGTCGAGTCACAAGTCACCTCAGAGGCTGTGGGTCACATGGGCCTTCCAGACCAGGTAACACTTTGACTTTTGAGTCGAGTCACAAGTCACCTCAGAGGCTGTGGGTCACATGGGCCTTCCAGACCAGGTAACACTTGGACTTTTGAGTCGAGTCACAAGTCACCTCAGAGGCTGTGGGGCACATGGGCCTTCCAGACCAGGTAACACTTGGACTTTTGAGTCGAGTCACAAGTCACCTCAGAGGCTGTGGGGCACATGGGCCTTCCAGACCAGGTAACACTTGGACTTTTGAGTCGAGTCACAAGTCACCTCAGAGGCTGTGGGTCACATGGGCCTTCCAGACCAGGTAACACTTTGACTTTTGAGTCGAGTCAGAAGTCACCTCAGAGGCTGTGGGTCACATGGGCCTTCCAGATCAGGTAACACTTTGACTTTTGAGTCGAGTCACAAGTCACCTCAGAGGCTGTGGGTCACATGGGCCTTCCAGACCAGGTAACACTTGGACTTTTGAGTCGAGTCACAAGTCACCTCAGAGGCTGTGGGTCACATGGGCCTTCCAGACCAGGTAACACTTGGACTTTTGAGTCGAGTCACAAGTCACCTCAGAGGCTGTGGGGCACATGGGCCTTCCAGACCAGGTAACACTTGGACTTTTGAGTCGAGTCACAAGTCACCTCAGAGGCTGTGGGTCACATGGGCCTTCCAGACCAGGTAACACTTGGACTTTTGAGTCGAGTCACAAGTCACCTCAGAGGCTGTGGGGCACATGGGCCTTCCAGACCAGGTAACACTTGGACTTTTGAGTCGAGTCACAAGTCACCTCAGAGGCTGTGGGGCACATGGGCCTTCCAGACCAGGTAACACTTGGACTTTTGAGTCGAGTCACAAGTCACCTCAGAGGCTGTGGGTCACATGGGCCTTCCAGACCAGGTAACACTTTGACTTTTGAGTCGAGTCAGAAGTCACCTCAGAGGCTGTGGGTCACATGGGCCTTCCAGATCAGGTAACACTTTGACTTTTGAGTCGAGTCACAAGTCACCTCAGAGGCTGTGGGTCACATGGGCCTTCCAGACCAGGTAACACTTGGACTTTTGAGTCGAGTCACAAGTCACCTCAGAGGCTGTGGGTCACATGGGCCTTCCAGACCAGGTAACACTTGGACTTTTGAGTCGAGTCACAAGTCACCTCAGAGGCTGTGGGGCACATGGGCCTTCCAGACCAGGTAACACTTGGACTTTTGAGTCGAGTCACAAGTCACCTCAGAGGCTGTGGGTCACATGGGCCTTCCAGACCAGGTAACACTTGGACTTTTGAGTCGAGTCACAAGTCACCTCAGAGGCTGTGGGGCACATGGGCCTTCCAGACCAGGTAACACTTGGACTTTTGAGTCGAGTCACAAGTCACCTCAGAGGCTGTGGGGCACATGGGCCTTCCAGACCAGGTAACACTTGGACTTTTGAGTCGAGTCACAAGTCACCTCAGAGGCTGTGGGTCACATGGGCCTTCCAGACCAGGTAACACTTTGACTTTTGAGTCGAGTCAGAAGTCACCTCAGAGGCTGT